GAATTATACCATAATGCCACGCTCCTGGCCAGGATGCTGGATTGGTTCCCCTCACCATCTCAGCTACCCAAACATACAGTGCTTAGTGAACAAGACCTGTGCCCAGTAGACCTGAGAGCCCTCCTGTGGACCCCCCCTCGACTCAAGCGTCCCCTTTCAGCCTTCTCCTCTTACCATAGCTGTGCTGCGTACTTGGCACTCTTTGTGCACCAGCCACAACTTGTCAACTTTACCTGGTCCTCTCTCACCTTTATTTGACAATCCATCTCTCCCCGTCGGTATAGCTATTAAGTGGTCGCAATAGGCGAGATTGGCCTACGGCGAGAGATTTTGTGAACTCATCTACTGGACGATATGTTGCTCCGGAAGTCGGCTGCCGTGTGGCCGCTCCTCACTGGCTTCTTGACCTTCAACTATCCGAGTTTTGTAAAGCTCTCCATTTATCTGACATGGTTCATAGACCCCTGTACGCCATACAATATCAGTACTTTATGGTATGTTGAGAGAATCTTTCCAACAGCCACTGCTGGCCTTTCAACCAGATGGTAAAAGGATCCGGTTTCTCTTCATTGTATCTTCCCTTACTCTCCGGATCTTTGCTGGCCGTGCAAGGCGGTAAGTGGCACTTACATACATATATGGTGGGACTGTCCCGATTCTTTCGTTCTGGCACAACGTTTTTGCAGTTTACAATCATTTATACGGTGAGCAATTACAGCCTTCTCCTGCAATAACCTTACTATCCCTATTACCAGGCCCACGGAAAACTCAGAAAACTATTCTTTTGAAACACTTCTTGGCCGCAGCCAGGCAGATTATACGCATTTTGGAAACAGGCAGTTACCACCACCACCACCCCCCCCCCCTTTGGGTCAGTCAAGTTCGTGACATTATGCAGATGCAGGAGTTACTAGCGGCAGATACTGATAGCTCAGCTAAGTTTTTAACTCAATGGAGTGTGTGGGTGCATTATTCATCCTCACCGGTACTCCTGTAACCACTTTTTGCTGAATCCAGGGGTCGTCATGGAATCGTTCCCATTTTGGTCATCGGAAGACAGCTCTCCCAGGGTCCTCTATTCCCCTTCTCCCCCCTGAATTTCCTCTCCTCTGATCTTTCTCGCTATGGTTCTTCTCCTTCTGCACAATTTCTTCTTTTTCTCTCTACCTTGATAGAACAATTAGCTTCTTTTGCTCCCCCCACAGTGGTGATATTTGTCGCACATCGATATGTTTTCCTATACGCTATACTACCATTGTACCTTTTGATGTAGGTCTGTGGCAGGCCTGCATAGAGTGGACGGTTATCACCTCCTTTTACCTCATATTGTTTCCACATACGTATGCTCTACCTACCTACTCTCCAGTTGTCACCTTGTACAATGTACTGTTTGTAGCTTATCTAGGTTTCATTTTATTGCCACTTATGGACCAAAGCCTTATGTTGCAAACTTTCATGAGAATTGTTCTTACGGTTTGCTTTGATGTGTTATTTCTAATTTCTTAATAAAGAAAAGATTCAACTCTAAAATTGGCTAGGAACATAAAAATGTTTTTCTCAACAAAACGGAAAGAATTTCACATTAAGCACACCGTGCACATCATGGACCAAACTTGATATTTAAAGGGCTTTGCTTCTACAGAAGAAGATCAAGGAGTGTAGACTTCACTTATGTGGTTTCAGAAGACACAATTCTACATTCCAATGTTTAAAAAGTATTTTCAGACAAAAATGAGATCTTAGTTATAAGGAAGAACCTGATTGGGCTTCTTACCAATCTTGGATACTCAAAACTCTCCCCTGCCATAATTACTGATTATTTTCTAATCCACCTGAGAGTTTTGGGTGTGCACATTTAAGCAGCTCCTCTTGCAATCGCAGTAATAAAAGATAAAGAATACAGCAGGGAGAGTGGGAACCCATCAAGACAACCAAAGTAAATGTGCAGGCACAAACTCAACAGAGAAATCTCACCAACAGAATGTATTGTAGAAAGCTAAGCCGTCTTTTATTTATATTTACCAAAAAGTAAAATATACATTTTAGGTGGCCTGACCCTTAAGTTAGGATGTCATTCACACTACAAACAGGAATAGGGATGACACCAAAAATAGGTCATTTCTTGGAGTAGACCAAGGTTTGGGCAGCATTAATCTGCAGTAAGGATGAAAGCTAATAAGCTGCCAGGCCAAAAGTTGATGTGACCTCATGACCAAAACTTTTAGTTTTATACGATATAACATGGAACCTGTCTGCATACAAGAATTACTTGTTTCAGACACAGAGGGGGGGCCAGTTCAGACCCACAGCCTAATCACACAATTCCACTTACCATAAGCACAAAAGGTAGCACTCTTGTTCCATAAATGACTGATTCTTCAAACCATATGACATGAGTGTTGTGGCTGCCCTCTGTTAAGAGAACAAAAAGCCAAACCTTTTTTGGCTTTATTCATCTTTTGTGTCAAAGGAGTATATTTACTAATGTCCTCCTGTGAGCCAAAGTCAGCATGTAGAGAGTTACTGCCCACCATATGCTGACAGCGCAGAGTCACGCTGCAGCCGGGAAAGATCAAGACAATATTGTTGGGATCCTCTCTGCTACCAGATTGACAGCTGGATCTGCCTCTCTAGAGCCAGCACCAGCTGTGCCCACCCCCTCCACTGTCTGTCCCTCCAATGCACGCCAGCTCTAAGTATTGGAAAGAGTAAATTTTACTCTCCCAATACATCTCCTTTAATAAGAGTCCTCAATATAACTTCAAAGTCAATGAAGATCAGATTTTAGGAGCCATTCATGCACCAGAAAATTATTTGGGGGTCAGGAACATTTGCTTTCTTCTAATTTCTGAGCACAATGCTGATTACTACAACACAGGTGCCCTTCAAGCAGTAGTATAGAGTTTGTCATGTTAGTGGGAAAACCTGCCCAAAAATTATTACACCAAAAATTGTCCCTGTTAAAATAGAAAACAGACTTTTTTTTTTTTTTAAAGCTCATGTCAAGGCAACATAAAAAAAATGTCTATCTCGGCAATACATGCACATTTCCCCCATGTTTCATCCTTTTAAACAAGTACAGAAACATAACTGTTGCTGGGGCAGATATATAGATGATGTGTTTCTATCTTTGTCTTTGACATAACACAGCGGGGATGATTTGATAAGGCATTTGTGACACATTTCTAACAATGAGTATGCAGTCGGCAGTCTTGTGCCAAATAGAAAAAAATGAAAACCCTGCAACATTTTCATTATAAGTGCTGACACGTGCCACAAATTCAACAATTCTTATTAGCGAAACCTTTACTATATGGCGCTATTGTGACCAATTCATAAAGAAAAATACGGCCATATTGAAGGTAAATAGACCTCTTCCATATTGGAGTGAATTGTTAATTGTGTTACACGTGTCATTATTGTATCCCATCTTTCAGACTATTTCGCCACAAAATGTATCTTTCCTTCCAAATAGTTTCTCTGCCTGTACAACTTGTTGTAATGCCATGAGACAGTTTTCTAAAGAGCATATACAACACTCTTAATGATTTGCAGGGAATATATTTTCAGCTCTAAACGCCTAAGCACATGTTGCCAGCCCTGACTACTTCATCCCTAAGGGATTAAAAAAAACCCACAGACCTCATCTGGTCTTCATTAGCTCACATGATTTCTGCCAGGGCCAACAGATATTTCTGCACTTATCAAACAGATATCACAAAACACTTTTAATGGTATATTTAACAGACCCAAAGGGAGCAAATAAGAGATGTCCATTGTTAGGATTTACATATACTTTACGTTGCTAAAACACAGGGCCAAAGAAGATAAAAAAAACTAAAAAGGGGAATTTATCAAAACTGGACAGAATCTGGAGCAGTTTCCCATAGTAACCAATCGGCTTATCTCTTCAATTTGTTCAGTTCAATTTGTTCAGTTAAAGGGTTTCTAAAGCCTCTGTTTTTTTTGCATATATCTACTGCTAGCAAGCAGTAGATACATACAAAAAAGTAAAAAAAATAAATAAACCGTTTTAACAGAGGTTTAAACTTACCCCGTCTTCGCCGCGTGCTCCTGTTGAAAATCTGAAACTGCTTGGGCAGCCGCAAAGCATCTTGGCGAATGCACAGTTCGGATTTTCGGCCGGGAGACGAGGAGAGACTCAAGGTAAGTCTATGGACGTGTGCACCTGCATGCAGACACCATGGGACAGGAAGTGCCAGCAAGGACAGAGGAGTCAGCGCCGGATCGGAGACCCGCCGCAGCACCGGAGGGACAGATGAAAAACATCAGGAAAGAAGATGATCGGATTAAGAGACATCATTTAAGGTAAGTGCTGACAAACATTGGGGGAGGGAAAAAAATGTGACTTTAATGTCACTTTAAGCTATGAAAATGAAAAATAGAAGTTGATTGGTTGCCATGGACACTGCTCCAGATTTCATCTGCTGCAGTTTTGATACATTCCCCGCTAAATATCTCAGTCATGGCTAGATGCCCTGTAATGCAAGGCAGGCTACATATACAGTAATAGATGCTCTGCTTTTTTTGTTTCTTTTAGTACCCAAGTGTTGCAACAAGGGTTAAATTACCCTGTTCTGGCAACATCTTGGAAAAGTGGGCCGTAGTTCTCACACACAAGCAATGGCCCAGTTCTGATACACCCCCCTGCATACTGTTCCACTCAATAGCGGTGCTCAGGAAGCTAGAGTTGCTGATTGGAGCAGTGTGCAGGGGGAGCAGTGTGCACTTAGGAAGCAAAAAAAAAAATACAACAGTGTATTTACTACTGTATATGCAGCCTGACACAATTTGTCTTTAATGTAAACAAAAAGGTGTACAGGAAGTGCTGAGATTTGACTTGGAACAGCTTTCCTGTATTGTTGCTGCACAATGGCTGTAAGTAGTCAGTGAGAGCTTACCTGAATGCTTACTTACATGAAAGCATTTACACCCCCATAGCTTGTTCACAGTTCCACTTTTAAAAGGACAACCAAGTCAATTCATAATCAATATAATTATATAAATATAAAAATTGGTGATCCCATACAAAAGTACAGAGATCTAGACATTTTATTTTATAAAACACAGGTTCACTAAAAGATGTCAATAACAGAGTCTGCCAAACAATAAAACACACGCACACGCCATCTGTACATATGACACAGAATTAAAAAACACACCCAGCTATTTGACAGTGATGCTAATAATGGTGATGTCTTCGTATGGCTTATCTGTCTTAGGGTTAACTTTGACGTTTGAGATCCTCTGGACGACTTCCATTCCTTTGGTTACCCGCCCGAACACTGTGTGTTTGTTGTCGAGCCAAGGCTGTGAGAGAAGAGAAAACAGAGCATTATCTAACCGAGAACTTGCGTACGGCCACTTGCCTGTCACGAAACATCCTCGTAGCTTTCAGATCGCGCATTACCTCCGAGGCTGAGGGGGGAACCACAACATATTAACATTAGACAGGCTGAAGAATTCAAGGTTCGCATACTATATGCCAACACGCAGAGAAGAATTGCATACATATGTGAATGATTCTGGGAAGACATCGCTGCTTAAGAGAAACAGACCTACTGTGAGCCATTTAAAGTTAATGGAGGCCCAGTCTAATACAATCCTTATTGTGTTGCCATTTGTCAATTAAATCATTAATACCAGATAAAATAAAAGCCATATGAAGTGATTAATGCTAAATGACGTCTGTGGTTACAACATGTGTGATACCCTTTTAAAAGGAAAGCTTTTTAGTATTATTTTGCAATGTTCTTACACAACTGCACTGCAGAAAGTGGGCATTTCTTATGAAACGGCACACAAAGGACATCATGTGCTGGGGTCACCATTCGTTGTTCTGCACCTTACCGATACTGTTACCAGAAATTAAGTGACACTAAACTCAGGAGATAAATCTTAAAACTGCATTCAAGTATCTTAACTATTATTGGTGCGGACACTGTCCTTCCTTCTGGAGGGTGGCTACTTTTGTTCCCCATGGTCCCTGTGTGTGCTTTAGTAGCCACCGCTTCAAGCTCACTCCTGTGATGGACTACAATCTCAATACAAATTAGTAAACTAAACGTGAGATTGTAGTCCATCACAGGAGCGAGCTTGGAGCGGTGACTACTTTACAACACACACAGGGACCATGGGGAACCAAAGTAGCCACCCTCCAGAAGGAAGGACAGTGTCAGCACCAATTCAGAGATGATTTGAGGACCTACAGCCGAGTAATACACAAATAAGATACATTTTTGTTGTTAATGCACTTGAATGTATTTTTTTTAAATTTAATTCGACTTTAGTGTCACTTTAAGCTATAAAAAACCCCGGCTACGAAAGGCTTAAAGTAAAAAATGTGGCAATATTCAATAATACTAAGGTAGCCTTAAAAACACTGCTCAGGTTTTGTGATTTTAGGACAGGTGACCAAATTACGGTTGAGCAAACAGTAGACAGACTTTGTTTTACATATCTGATCACTGACAATCCAAACGGCAATTCCAGAAAGAGAGATAAGCAACCCATTCAAATGTCATGAAAAGGCAAGAATTGCCAAGTCCCTATTCACTCTGAAGAAGGTTTTCAAACAAGAATTTTAGGCTACCGTATATACTCGAGTATAAGCCGAGTTTTTCAGCCCATTTTTTGTGCTGAAAAATGCCCCCCTCGGCTTATACTCGAGTCAGCGTCTCGAGCACTGAGGAAAGTGAGTACGCTGGTCAGGTTTCTTCTTACTTACCTTGCCGAGCGTCGCGTCACTGCAGCTCCGGTGGGCGGCGCTCCGAGCGGGGTCATCTGGCAGTCTCCGCGTCCTAATTTAGGTGGCCGGAGACTTCCAGATGACCCCGCACGGCTTATACTCGAGTCAATATTTTTTCCCAGTTTTTTTGTGGTAAAATTAGGTACCTCGGCTTATATTCTGGTCGGCTTATACTCGAGTATATACGGTAATTAAAAAATGTCAGAGTAGATATAAGCCAAATACAACCTATAAATATACTTTCCTTGCCCTGGGACAGAATACAGTCCAGAACTGTGCTCCCTCACCCACTGTGCCTGTGTCACAGCGTAGATTACACCAGGAAAATAAGCTTTTGTTTCATGCAGCACAGGTACAGGTAACTTAACTGTGTGGTGGGACGTACATGGAGCTCATCTTGGATGAGTGGCCAAATATTGCCTTTACATTTTTCGCACTTGCCACTGGATGTTATAGGGACACCATACAAAGATAAGCTTTTCCATAAAACAAAGGGTTTGATTTTTTTTTTTTCCTGAGGCCTTCCACACCCCCCCTCCCCCACCCACAGTGCGATCGAACCCTTGGCAAAACTTTGCCAGCGTTGCGTTTCACTGCAAACGCAAAAAATAGGGCAAGCGTTTGATCGCACTGCCAGCGGGGGGGGGGCGGGTGCGTGGAAGCGGTGCCATTGAATACAATGCACCGCCACTCCCCCTCCCTCCCCAAAACACGGGGGGAAGTTTCACAGCGATCGCGGTGCGTTCCAGCAGCTATCGCTCTGGAACGCACACGCTTTCAGTGTGAACAAGCCCTAAAGGATCATCTAACATACAAAAGATGCCCACAAAAGCCAATGCAATCTTCTGCTCAATGCAACTCTTATTTTTTTCAGTCTTTTTATTTGGTTTTTATATTTTAATTACAATAATTGAGTCCTGAGGTAATACAAAAAATGAATCCCAGAGAAGACTAGGACACCCGCAAGAATTTTAAAGGCGTTACGTAATTAAATCACAGTGGTACGAGAGAGCACTGTAGTGGCTAGGATCATATGGTGGTAGGTTAGGTCAAGAAGTTACCACTATAGAGAAGTTGTGAACCAGAACTTCTAAGTTCAATGTAGTCTTTAAGTAGGTGCAGAAGGTAGGCGAGGGCATAGAGGTCGGAATCATCAGTGACACAAGTAAGCCAGGAATTACATTTTCCATTTCATTTTTGTTGTACACCCTTCTAAATGTTATTTAGATTGGGACGTTATACGAGAGGAAGGTTATTCTTTAAAGATCACTAGCAAAGTACCAGTACAGTCATAGCAATATAGGATAACATTACACACACATCAAGACATGTATAACATGCACTTACAGTTGGCACCACAGTCATGAAGAATTGAGAGCCATTGGTGCCCGGGCCAGCATTGGCCATACTGAGAGTGTAGGGTCGGTCATGTCTTAGCGTGGCATGAAACTCATCTTCAAACTCTCCACCCCAAATACTTTCTCCGCCCATTCCAGTTCCTGTAGGATCTCCTGTTTGAATCATGAACCCCTATAAAGAAATAAAGTGAAATATAACCATAATTCAGGAACATGTCAGGTATGCTAGTTGCAAATGATAAGTTTGTCTACTAGTGCCCATGTGTATAAACACTGCCCTCTACACTGCATGAGCAGGAAACCTGTGTCTCAGCACAAAATGAAAGCATTCTTGCCACTAAATGAACACAACATTTAACACAAAGCATTACACAATGTGTGCCACATCTGTACACTATGAATACAAATAATACTAGACTACAAATTAAAGTGATATAAAGTCAAAAGGTTTCCAAAAGCTGAGGAAATCACTTATAGTGGATGCTGCTCCTTTATGTTTAAAAGTTTTAGTTTCTTACATAATCAGCTGGTCCCCTAAGCACTGGCCCAGATATCCCATATTAAGGTGGCTCCTTTCCCTTTCAGGGTCCCATGGAGCCACCCCTATGTGTAATAGTAAGCTGTATATGTCTCCACAAAGAGGCACAGCAAGGCAAGTCATTCCCCAGTCCTCTTTCCTTCTCCAAGCTAGTAGATGGTCATCTACTGTAGTACTCTGTACTCTGTGATCTTGTACTGGACAGGAAGTTTGGGAAAGCTGAGCCGAGAGAGTTGGAGCTGTTTGGAAACATGGTGACTAAGCCCTTGGGAAAAATGTATAGAAATACTTTCCTTGGCAATAGGGCTGCAACAACTAATTGACTAAGTCAATTATAATCAATGATTGAAAAAGTTGAAAACGTTTTCAATCATCGATTAATCGGCTTTCAATTTGTTGGCCTTGTTCACGGCCCCACACACGCCGCGCGCTGCCCAAGAAGCAAGTTTCTGGAAGACTGCTCATACCACCGGTTATAGAGGAGTAGAGCAAATCCCAGCAATAATACATTATACAGCGCAATGCGGAATACCACCAGCTATAATGTACTATTGCTAGCATGTATTGTAGTCCTCTATAGCTGGTGGTATTCTGTATTGTGCTGTATAATGTATTGCTGGGATTTGTAGTCCTCTATAGCCGGTGCCATTCTGCATTGATTGCTGTTTAATTTTAGACGTTCCATTTTACTATATTGCACACCACACTTTTTTTTTTTTTACTTCCACTGCTCCAAGCTGGCTCCTGTGATGGACTGCAATCTCAATACAAACTAGTAATCCATCACTGGAGCCATTGTTTAAAAATGTAATTAACCGATTAATCGAACTTAATAGTCGGCTAACTAATCGACTTTGAAAGCTCTACTTGGCAATGTGTATGTGCTCTCTCTGGGCAGGTTATTAACACCTCCTAGCTCCAATTATGCAGATGAAATCAACACCTGGTTGCGACTAAAAGATTATGTGGATTGGAGCAACATTCACCATATTTATTCCCAGATAATTTTTGTCATTCTGAATTGAGAACGTCCAAGAAAAATACAGCAAGTCCAGTTGCCTTGACTTAAATACTACTAAAGTTAAATACTACTAAAAGTGGATCTCCAGTGAGCAAGAATCTTATAACCCCAATATCACCCCCTCCCCCACATGAATTAAAGCATGAGTCTCATATTAATAAATTCTCCAGAATTACCTGAAAGGAGTCTTTCCTCCCTCTAACATAGCCGGTGATGGGCAGGGAGTGGCTTCCTCAATGAACAGAGGAGCGCACTCAAAAAATAACTACATGTTCCATAGTGCCTTGAGCCACCAGCAGTGCGGGGCGTATGACAAGTGTGTTTTTGTGTACCAGAGTGAGGCGAGCCATTCCTACCACAAGGAAGCCTAACTAGACACTGCGAACGCCCACTATCTGGGGAACAGAATAAAGGGTGTTAAATCAACAGGTGGGGAAACAGGAAAGATTTGTGCCATGCTGACTGCTGCACAGCCTCAAGTGCAGGTAAACCAAGGGACAGATCAGTGGTTTAGTGGTTAGCACTTCTGCCTTGCAGCACTGGGTCCCCAGGTCAAATCCTGGTCAGGACACTATCTGCAAGGAGTTTGCATGTTCCTGTGCTTGCGTGGGTTTCCTCCCATAATCAGACATGCAGGTATGTTAATTAGCTCCGGTCTAATATTTAAACTAACATTTAAATATTGTCCACTGTGCATGTCTTACCAAATATTATTTTAGCTGTTTTTTTGCCCAGCAGCCGTTACCCAGAATCAACTACAGAACGGCTATAAGCAACTACAAAAAGTATTCACACAACAAAAAACTGAAGCCATTTTCAGACAGCAGACTTTGTGAAGAATGTAGTCAGTATGTGAACAGTAACTACATGATAGCCGATAAAGGATTGCTGGGCTCCTGTGAACAAAGCCACGTTCACAAGTCCCCCAGACCGCAGGCTAAACGCTCAGCTAAATGTGAGATTTTAATATTTACTTTGTACAGCAACACTAAACACTTGTCAATAATTTCTTCATTTGAAACACTAATTTCAGTGCGCTGTAAATGAGGAACTTGTCAATGGGGGTTAAACTACGTGTAACAAAACAACTAAAAGCTTATGTATCATTACACCGAAAGGTATAAGATCTGAAGCTAAAGATGAAAGTATGAATATGGCAGCTGTTACTTGTCATTTATAAAGAGGTCATTTCACACCAATTATTTTAATGCAGATCACTTAAATTACAGTAAATATTCTTACCTTAATGAGTCTGTGAAAGACGTGGCTATTGTAGTAACCATTGCGGCTGTGCACGCAGAAGTTCTCCACAGTTTTGGGACACCTGTAACAAGGTATTCATTGTCTGTGGTTAGCTGTCTGTATTACTTATATCTTAGGCTCCTAGTGTGAGTGAATGAGTGGGTTTATTATTATATTTCTTTTTATTACACACACACACACACACACACACACACACACACACACACTGAACGTGTGCGTGTGTATAATAAAAATAATAACACACACACGTTAAATAAGCCCAGGTTTATTCTATGCCGACACTCAAATCAAATGATGCATTTACACCTATTGAGGTAAAGTATTTAGCCCTCCTCCCCCTACTCGGGTAAAAACCCTCAAGGAGCTCTAATTATTTTCTGAAAAGGTAAGTTTTTTTCAGTACACATTCAGCGTTTCCTGGATATATTTAGCTGCTATTACTAGTTTCCTTGTGTAGCATCATCTACAGACGGGAAACCATGGTAATGACAGCATGGACAGCCCATTTACTGGCACAAATCATGCACATTTTGTTTAGGCTCTCTAGGCACTGCATACATTTTCCAGCATGTACCAAACTGTTGACTGGCTTCAGTAGTCATGTGTTCAAGTGCAATATGTTCTCTCATGCTCTCTCATAGCATCGGTGCAGAGTATTTGGGAGAGTACCCGTACTCGCCCAAATGCTCCGATGCCTAGCCCGATACTTCCGTTGTAATGACTCGCTGTCCGGCTTCCTGATTGGCCAGAAAGCAGGCTCCATGCTTTCTCGTCACCTAGTAATGAGAAGCACGGGGACGGCTTTCCTCCTAAAAGGGAAGCCCGGTGTCGAGTCAAAACACGCCACCTGGCTTCCTTAAATGGGACTTCCGGTATCGATCTAGTTAGACAAAACTGATGATTATTGTTATGTACAAGAATTTGATTTGAGACACTTACTCGACAGGAAACAGTTTGACATGAATATCTCCCATGCTTGTATGGATGGTGGCGCTGTCAGAAACACGTTTTGGCCCATCGGCCTGTGTGGCAGCCATAACTTCTTCTTTTGATGGCTTCTCATTGAAAACATCCCTGTCGGACTCAGCACTTTTTGTGTCCTCTGGCTCTCGCTTGGTAAACTGAAAATCAGGAAAATCTACAGCTTACAGTTTTATTCAGACCTTCTATTTTCACCGATATAACATCAGAAATCACAAAATACAAAGACTTCATGTACATATATTCAAACATAACAAAAGAACACCGTCAGTACACAACAGTAACAGCTCCAAGGCTTCTGCTCCTGCTACAAAGTGCTCCATAGGAGTGTTTGCAGCAGACCACTGTAAACAGAAAGCTTTTGCATTTGGTTTACATTTGAAGTTAATTAACGTCATGTCACGGCACTTCTTGATAATACAGAGGATCGAGCAGACCTGAAGCTGCCTTCCTTGCCTCTCTCCGCAGCAGAAAGTCGCTCCCATAATCATCTATAGTTACATAGTTACATAGTATTTGAGGTTGAATAAAGACATTAGTCCATCAAGTCCAACCTATTAGGATCAATAATTTGTATCTGCTATCAATTTAAAGTCCTATCTGTCCCAAGATAAACAATGTATAAAAAAAGAAATTACTCTGGAACAATGGACAGATGAGGTAGATGGGAAAAAAGGTGTATAAATGCAATTGGTTATCGAACAAGTGTATCTAACAAAGTGGCCACTGAGTGCATACTATACATTCAAGTGATATTAAACCCACATTTTGGGTTTTATTTTTAATTTTCCAGACGAAAGCCACTTGTACTTGTTTGGCTGTTTTTTTTTTTTTTTTAACTTGCTGCACCGCGGCCTCCTCTCCTTCTGCTACGGGTGTTTCCTTTGCCTAGCAGGTTGCAAAGAAGACTCCCGTGCATGAGCGCTCCCGCTCGGGGATTGAGCTGTGCGCGTCTACTGAGAAGCCAAACTTCTGTTCCCGCCTCCTCACAGTATCTCGACAGGCAAGAGCAGCAGCCTATCGCTGCCCTGCTCTCTGTAACGTTGGGATCCAGCCAACCCGGAACTTCGGGACACACCGCACATGTTCTGGAAGCCAGCAGCTGTGCACATGGAGTGTAGGTAAGTGTTTGGAGGTGGGGGGCGTACAAAGGTAGTGGGGGCATTTTTTTACCTTAATGCAGAGAATGCATTAAGGTAAAAAACAAATAGCCTTTAGTACTACTTTAAATTAATTTTGAAAAAAAAAAAGCTAAAGTTACATGTTCGGAAAAAAAAGCAAACTAAATGTCAAGCGCTAATATAGCAAACAAGTTTCTCTTGAAGTTTTGATCTAAACCCCAATAAGTTTGGCACAATGAAAATGAGCTGGTGGTAATCTTACTCTTGGTTATTTAGGTGCAGCTCAGCTCTGATCTTTAATCTGGTTTTGCTGCAACAATGCTCTGATGGTAGTTTTGAAGAAGAGGTTCAATGACTTTTAAATACATTAAAAGGACATTATTGTTTGCACTAACCATGTAAAAGCGATTCTTTTTGAAGGAGGTGCACACGATGGTGGGGTCAGGCTGGATGTTCATAAGGGCGGGATTATCTGAAGCCTTCATCTCTATGGTGGTAGCGGCACGGTGCTTTTTAGCTGCTCCCTGGAACAACGCAAGCTGCATCGCCCTGATGTTTTCCTGCTTGCCGAGGATCCGCACACACCTGCACAGGAGCACAGCGACTGTTATAGCAAAGACAGAAAGGCCTCACCCTCTGCTGACTCAGAAAAATGAAAGTGATTCTACGGTAGCACAAACTAATCCCCTGCTAATCCCTGAATAATGAACATTACACGTTGCTCAGGAAGTCTCAGGATACTCCTAATGTCTGGCCTCTGGCAATATACTCTGTTTCCCCTTGTAAAGAACACATGGATCTTTTCCTAATGCTAATACACTGTTTTATGCTCCTCGGGGCTTCAACTGTTGCCAGGAGGAAAGAAAGAGCCTTGACTTGCTTTGTAGTGTACAGCAAAAGAAAAGAAAATCTAGTTATTTTCTACTTTGAAGCTGGCAAGGAAAATACATTTAATAGAAGTTCTGTATCGTCACTGAAAAGCTCTGATGTTTTAATTGCAGAATTAACTCTATGTGCTCTTTGAATATGGTCAAGAACAGACAATCTGTGAAGACAGCAGATGAGATGACGAAATTACAGAAAGCTTTTTATGCTTTAAGATCCTGTATAGCCCATGGATCAGTAAACAAATGGTCTTCCAAAATGTATCACTTGGGCTCCAGATAGTTACAAGTGATTTTCATGTTATAAGACTATGAGAGCCCCAGAAAAAAAATAAATAAAAAGAAATAAAGCTACCACTAGAGTCCAGAAAACATTGTGCCAGAGAATAAAAGACTCAGCTGTTAGAAATCCTCTTCAGTCTTTCATCTTTGTGATAATTGGCCCAATTCGTCTAAGCAGTGGCACAAATATAGCTCTCATTACAAAACCAACAAATGGCAGAAAAATTAGACCTCTTCATCACAGAAATGCTCTAACCCAACCAATAAACCTGTATTATCCTCTGCACAGTATAAAGGCCAGACGAATGGCCACTAGAACATTATGTATTATTATGTATAATAATAAGATTGGTGGTACAAAAGGATCAAATCCACTATAGTGCACTTCGAGGGAGAGCTTGAGAGAGCGCGCGAGGGGGAGGACTCTCTCTCAAAATTTAAGGAACACTTTGAAAACACTGTATACTGGACTAGGTAATGTGTTAGGAACGAAAGGATGCCACATCGTTTGATGGAAATTTAAAATTATCAACCTAAAGAGGGCTGAATTCAAAGACACCCCAAAATCAAAGTGAACAAATGATGCAGCAGACTAGTCCATTGTGCTGAAATGTCATTGCAGCAACTTAAAATGGTACTGTACACAGTAATTTGTATGGCCATCACATGATTGTATGGATGCCTGACAACGTCGGGGCATGCTCCTAATGAGACGACGGATGGTGTCCTGGGGCATCTCCTCCCAGATCTGGACCAGGGCATCACTGAACAGACTGAGGTGCAACCTGGCGTCGTCGGATGGACCGAGACATAACGTCCTAGGAGGTGTTCTATTGGATTCAGGTTAGGCGAGCGTGGAGGCCCATTCAATGGTATTAATTCCTTCATCCTCAAGGAACTGGCTGCATACTCTCGCCACATGAGGCAAGGCATCGTCGTGCACCAGGAGGAACAGGCAACATAACATTCTCCACAGCTTCTCCAGACCCTTTCACATCTGTCACATGTGCTCAGGGTGAACCTGCTCTCATCTGTGAAAAGCACAGGGCGCTAGTAGCAGACCTGCCAATTCTGGTGTTCAATGGCAAATGCCAATCGACCTCCACGGTGCCGGGCAGTGAGCACAGGGCCCACTAGAGGACGTCGGGCCCTCAGGCCACCCTCATCAAGTCTGTTTCTGATTGTATGGTCAGAGACATTCACACCAGTGGCCTGCTGGAGAAAATTTTGTAGGACTCTGGCAGTGCTCTTCCTGTTCCTCACTGCACAAAAGAGTAGATACCGGTCCTGCTGATGGGTTAAGGACCTTCTACGGCCCTGTCCACCTCTCCTAGAGTAACTGCCTGTGCCCTGGAATCTCCTCTATACTCTTGAGACTGTGCTGGGAGATACAGCAAACCGCCTGGCAATGGCACGCATTGATGTGCCATCCTGGAGAAGTTGAAAAGAAATAGACACCGGCACTCCAATAGTAAGTCGATTACGTCTATTTATTGACGTACATCAAAAGCAAAATAACACACTTAGTGCGACGTTTCGGGGACACACAGGAACCCCTTCATCAGGCAAAACACTCGTGTTATTTTGCTTTTGATGTACGTCAATAAATAGACGTAATCGATTTACTATTGGTGTGTCGGTGTCTATTTCTTTTCTGCATTACTTTGACGGTGGCCATCCGTCGACTACTGAGCACCCAGGATACTTTGTTGGACGTGCGGTCAGGAGTGCAATGGGTACATGGACTGTATCCTGGAGAAGTTGGCACGCCTGTGCAACCTCTATAGGGTCCAGGTATAGCCTCATGCTACCAGTAGTGACACTGACTCTAGCCAAATACAAAACTAGTGAAAAACAGTCAGAAAAGATGAGCAAGGAAAAAAAATGTCAGTGGCCTCCACCTGTAAAACCATTCCTGTTTTGGAGGTCGTCTCATTGTTGTCCATCTAGTGCACCTATTAGTTTCATTAACACCAAAGCAGCTGAAACTGATTAACATCTCCCTCTGCTACTTAACTGACCTGATCAATATCCCAGGAGTTTCACTGACTTGATGCTATACTCTGATTAAAAAGTGTTCCTTTAATTTGTTTTGAAACAAGTCAAATGCTGCTGCTGGGCTCTGGTGGTTGAAACCCTACTGATGTCATCACGTCCAATGCAAGTCCGTCCACCTGTATTAGACGTGAGGACACCAAGGGACATACCACAGCTGGAGTGGAGGGTGAGAGCGTGGCGAGTTCTCACTGCCGCAGGATAGAGGATCGGATGAGCTTATTATCTGTATTCCGGCTCCTAGACCAAAACGAACAGTTAACCCTTGCAGTGCAGAGCTATCCCCACTGCAAGGGTTGATGCATTAACTGGAGTTCCTCTTTAATTAAAGACAATCATAAAAGAAAAATAAATCCCTTGTTCAACCATCGTATCCAGAGGCTGCAGCACTTGCAAAAGGGTAGTATGCTTATTCGCCATCCATGGACACATCTGCTTGCGTCTCAAATGTAGGGGGCACCAAGGGCACTTTCAAATGCAGATTTAAAGTGACTGATGTGACTGTCCTAGCATAAATTAGGCCAGATAACTATTGTCATTCTCTAAAAACGCATGCCTCAGGCGTATTTCCATGATATTTGAATATTCCTGTTTTCGCTATAGTATAACTTGCATTATTAACCACTGATAAAAATCTATATACTGCTACTAAACTGAATGTGAGGAACTGGCAATATCCATCCATCCATTCTACCAAACCTTAGCTATAACTAGGGCTGCAACCAACTAATCGATTCATCGATAAATTGATGAGAATATTTGTCAACTATTCTCATTACCGATTAGTTGGCTGGATCTCCTAGCTCTCTCCTCCACGTTGGGAGGAAGGCACAGCAAGCAGTGGGCAGATGCAATAGCCAGCCTGCTATTGCAATTTAAAATGGCCAATAGCAGGCTGGTTATTGCACCAACCCACTACCTGCTGTATTTACATTCAGCTGCTGTGGAATCTTGCCTCTGGCAGCTGTCTTTCCCGGGCTGAAGCTATTCAAGTGCTATGTGCTTATAATACAATTATTTTTTTTTTAAATGATAAAAAAAGGTGGGGGGAAAAAAAAAAGTAATCGATTATGAAAATAATCATTAGTTGCAGCCCTGGGTATAACATCATCTTCCTTGTACTTACCTGACCAGCAGTTCTGGTTTCACTAGTCTCTAGTCCCAGAGTTAATTTGGGCAGAGTTCAGAATCAGACTTCGTTCAGGCGTACACACTGGTTTTTCTACCCCGGCAGGCAATCACTTCCTGCACTCATGTCGCCTGTATCAAAGATTGAAATACGGAGCAGAACTGTACAAGGTCAGGACCATCGTAAGGAAAAGTATATAGTGCAAGAGGGAGGATTTTCAACTTCGGATAGTTAGGACTTAGGAAATAGATGAGCGTCTAAAATGGGTTTGCATCTGCTCTTTACATTTCCACTCACCTATTTGTTTCTACATTAATCACTTTAATGCCGAGCATTGTCCCATACAACACAAAATGGCCGGTCTCATCAAAAATGATGTTCATTCGTTTAATGGCATCCACTTTCTCCAATTCCCTTTCCACAGCCATGCGTCTCCCAAACTCCATGTCTGGGAGCTGTTGTCTCATCTGCTGCAACTCTGTAAACATCTGCAAAAAGAAGATCAAGGTTAAGACTGGAATCAGTGTTTTTTGTAACTACAAACCTAATAAAAGAGAGAGGATTATGTTGGGCCTGTCCAAAAAAAACCACACACTTATCTGGCAACTCCAATGTCTTTAGCCCTGATTTAGAGAATATGCCAGGAACAAAAAAAAACGACATATGAGGTGCATAAGCGTATGACGTGTACATTTCCCCACATTTCATCCCTTTAAAGACCTCGCAAGTACAAAAAAAAAACATGAGTTTATGTGTCAGAACAGGACTCAACTCAGTCCTGTTGTAGGCTGACAAGCCTTGCCCAGTTTTCTTTTGTATTTCACTGCTTCCCACATCCAAAACATAGGCACTAATTGACCTGTAGTCCAAGATGAGAACTGAGAGGACTAATCAGTCTCCTAGAGACAAGACAGCTCTATTCTGAGTTGATCAATGTTTGTTTTTTTGCATTTATTGCTTTTAATGGTGCATTTGACAGATCAAAAAGGTACATTCAAAAAGGAACTTTACCCAGATCTTCAAAATACCAACCAAGGCACCTTTGGAAATGTTTAGTAATGACAATCTACAAGCACATACTTCTACATAATTGCAGGCTTTGTATTCTTTGCATATCTTATTTTTCTTTTCCTCCCCAGTCTTCTGACAGTGACCATTTTTACTAAAGGCAAATAAATATATCTCCCTTTACTTCCTGGAACTCTGCGACATGTGACTAGGACATGTGACCATGCACATCAACTGAGATTACAGATGAGATTTCCCAGCAATGATCTACTGATGTAACTTTCCCAGGATGCATTGCTTGGGCACATTATATTACTAATGCTAATTATAATCACCAATTAGATTGTAAGCCCCCAGGGGCAGGGCCCTCCTCACCATCTTGTCTTGAATTGTATTGCGATTGTAATGTCTTCCTTATATTGTAAAGAACTGCACAAACTGTTGGTGCTATATAAATACTATGTAATAATAATAATAATAAATAAATAATAATGCCCAAGAGGACCAGGAAGTTGGAAAAAAAAGAAATTGTAAGTAAAATAAAAATGTTTGTTTAGCTAATGGATGTAAGATGATTTCATATCAGCATGCAGAGTTGTATGCCGAGGTGATTTTTAGTGCAAAGGGGTAAATATCCGCTTTAACAGACCAAAAGGAAGCAAAGAAGAAGAAGTTCATTGTTAGGGTTAACATTCTCTTTAAGTAAGAGCCCTACAACATATGGCAAGAAGAAACTGGCAGAATTTATTATTTTTGCTGTTAAAGGATGACAAGTGTTTATGATGCAGGCAGGGGTGCATGATTACTATCGCCTGACGCCCGGAACATATAGCTCCTAGGCGCCGGGAGGTGTTTCCCCCCCCCCCCTACATTTAGCCCTGCTGTGGGCAAGCAGGGCTACACGTTTAACAGGGGACCCACTGCTCGTGTTATACCAGTGATCCGGGGGGCTGTACAGCTGTCCAGATTACTAGTAGCAGCCCTCTGTAATGTCCCCCCCTCCCTGCCATGGTTTTCGGGGGCCCACGCTCTTCTGGGTGACCTGGGACCATGGCAAATTACTTCAGAATGTGCGATTAGCGAGATAAACATTTTTTAAAATAACTCCGCTGCCCCTGTCATCTGCATGCAAATAAATTCACGGGTATGGCTTTTTTATTTTTTACATTTCCACACCCCTGTGCAGGGCTCTAGTATGGCCAAATGTGACCACAGCAAAAAAGAAAACTAAAACAGGAGGGGGGAACTTCAGCAAAATGATCAGGTTACAGAATATACGTGGCAATACACAGGTTGAATTTGTTAGCAGCAGCATAAATCGTTTCAATACCAGACACAGTCTTCCATCTGGCAGGCATCACAAGGAAGTCATCTCAAGACCACAAACGCTCACTACCGAACAGCTGTCAAAAGGCCTGTACAGCAGAACATGCCCTCCTGCTACTCTTATATTGTTCAGATTCATGTACAAACAGCACACAAATATTTCAAATAGAGACCAGGCAGTCATTGGAACACTTCTGCGTAAAATGTACGGAACTACCGATATCGCTCTCATTTTTCTAAATAAAGTGCTGGCAAAATTCAAGGAGTACAATTGCAATTACACCTGAAGGATTATAGCTAAATCCATGAGCATACCCGGCATATCCAGGCAAAACTAAGCCCTGAAAGGCATACAAAGCTTACCTGTCAGGAGCTTGCTTTTATCCAAGCTTTACCATAATGGACCTGGAACACCTAAATTTAAACATTTTCCTGTACCAAGTAATCTAGTGTTTAGAGAATTTTAATAAACTGGTCAGATATGGAAGGGCACATCATCATAGGGACGTTATTAAAAAGTCCTCCAGCATCCTCCCCCTCCATCATCAGCCTGCCCCCCCTCTGGGGAACTTGCAATGCCTCTGTACAATGCCTCCACTCTGGGGAACTTGCCCCTCCATATATACATGGACTCTGTAGGCCCATTCTCTACAAGTTCAAAAAGCTAGTTAAAAAAAAAAAAAAAGAAGGGCAAACGTTTTTTCTCAGAGGACAAACTGATGGTGACAATAACTTGGAGAACAAGGGGTTGGAAATGGGTCACAAGGCCACATCTTGCTTCATTCCAGACAAGAGAACCAAAAGCTGGACTTGGGAAACTTTTGGCCAGAGAGAAGATGGAAAATAATGACTAGAAGTTTTTGAATATATGGATTGTGGTGGCAAATATTTAGAAAACTAAGAGGGTTGTCAGAAGGCATTTTGGAAGGTACGATGGTGGCACGTGAGCGAGGATGAAAGTTTATAATACAAAGACTAGTTCAGTGAATTCTTACAGAAATTTCTGGAGAAACCTTCAAAAAATCCATGATCATGTGGCTTTGATCTCACAGCCTGTGCCCAAGGTAGCTTTTGGGATGTTATACATGGGGGTCGGCCTCTCTCTGGGTTCTATGGGAAATATTTACTGTAGTAGCCTCTTAACTGGAGAGATCCTCCTGGTCCAGCCATATTTCTACTCTCACAGCTAACACCTATGCCTTCCAATCCTGCTACATTTATACCCTCACTGCTAGCCTGTGCCTTCCAAGCCCGCTACCTTTCTACCCTCACTGCTAGCCTGTGCCTTCCAACCCCCCTACATTTCTACCCTCACTGCTAGCCTGTGACTTCTAATCCTGCTATATTCTACCCTCATCACTAGCCTTTGCCTTCCACCACTGCTCTCCTCCTTTGGGAGAGTTCAGATACCTTTCTATCCTCTCTTCTTTCCCTCCCATTCTGACCATTCGTATACAATCTCTGCTTTCTTGTAACTCCTGGTCAGGTCATGTTTCTACCCCCTTCTTTCCCTCACTCTACCTATATTAGGTACCACACAAATAGGAGTCCTCCTTCCAGTCTGCCTGTACATCCCAACTGGCTGGCAGCGTTTCAGAAACGTGGCACGGTGCGACAGCTACTGCATTATTTCGTCACTTAGCCGTCAGCAAATGCAGATAGGGCATACACAGAGGTCGAAAGGCTGGACAGTGTTTAAAGCGATTCCCACCTATTGCAGTCCTTCTGCCTCCATCCTACAGACTGCGGAATAAGAAATCTTCCAAAAAGGGAATGCATTATTTTCAGTCAACCAATTAATGGGGTTAATTTACTAAAAAAAAAAGAAGAGTAAAGCCTGTACACTTAGCAAAATGTAATGTTCGGGAATAATGTGAACTAGTTTTCACTTTTAACACCCCAAAAAACGTGACAGAAACTTATTTTTTTTTAAACTTTCTAGTGCACAGATGGGGTATTCAAAGTAAAGACTGCTAAGTGTCACTAAGCAGGCTGACAAAGTCTGCAAATGACAAACTGCACTTGCGGAGTGATTCACTCTGTATAACATGTTTATCTGCTTTTTTTATTGCAATATTGTTCTAAAGTTTTTAAATAAAACTGCTAATTTAGTGAAGGCTCCTCCCGGAGATTGTATTGTTGTACATGCTGCTGAAGGCATATGGTGAAGTAAAGGTTGATCCTGGTCAATGGAAAACAGATGGATGGAGAGTACGGTCTGTGCTCAGCTTTCAGTAAACTACATCAGGTCAATATCTTCTAATGTGTGTTCTGACTTTTTGTGGAAATGCAATAAAGTATATAATGGTAAGAGCAGCACATGCCATTGATATCTACAGTGGCCAGTCACTAACCGGTGGCAGCAGTAGTGGCTACGCTGCATGAGATGTGTACATACAGCCAAGTATAGGCCACTGTACAGGATTTACATGATTGTGTCATCTATAGGCCACCAAAAAAATGTTTACATATTGCAGCTTACCAATCCCTACAATGCAGTGGCTGCATTTGTTTTCTTTTTTACTTTATTAACACACTTCCTGTCATAGGGTAGCGCCACACTATGAAGGGGCATCTAAGCCACCCTTGGACAGCAGCATTGTCACCCTGTGGAGAGGGTAGTGTTAGATGGACTAGCATATTCAGACGGCCTTGACTAAAATTAAATCTGAACTCCAGATAAAAAACTTTTTAACAGTTACAGCAAAAGTTTTTACCTTTCAGGATAAAGGTTTTACACAAATAAGTAAAGGCTGAACATTGTAAGCATCAGTGTCCGTATGAAATGGTTTTTCTCAACGCTCTGATAATTTCACTGCACAGCTTGGTCTGTTAAAGGAAATTGAAACATAACAGACTTACTGGCCGGATCACCAAGTGAAAATAAAGGAAATGCCGCCACCACGTCTAAGTATTAGTAAGCTGCAATATATAAAATGTTTGCTTTTGAATTTGAACAGCCTTTAAAAGTGGAACTTTAAGTACAAATTAAAAAACGGCGACCAGGCAGGCCTTTTTATTGCAGAAAATACATGATAATGTCTGTTTGCTTCCTGATTGATAATGGACTTTGAGTTGCCAGGATGACAACTGTTGCACATGCATGAGAGTTATGTCATTCTGGAACAGTGAATCAACATAGACGAAGATCCCAATTATAGGAATGGACCAGGCAAATATGCTGGCACTGGTGAGGGAGTTCACATAGGGGAGGCAGGTATAGTTCATTTTAAGCAGTAGACCCTGGATGATGCCTATACAAAGAGGGCCTCAGAAAAAAAAGAAAGGAAGGGGAAAGAATTGTCAGAAGGAGTACAGTTATTGAACAGACAGGTTATAAATACCGAATAGTAAAGTATCAGCAGCACACCAAGGTAAAATCTGCAACAAGCGGTCATTTTATTGATGTACACACATAAAGCAACGTTTCGGGGCCACTCAAGTGGCACTGAAAGGTTGCTTTATAACGAGATGCGTGTACATCAATAAAATGACCACTCATTGAAGATTTTACCTTGATGTGCTGCTGATATACTTTACTATTCGGATTTGAAGTGGCGCCATCTATAATCACGTCAGCACCCACTTTAAAAAGGGACATATCAGTAAGGAGTGCAGTGGGAACCTTTTTGGAACTAGGTTATAAATACCCGTTACACATTTTAGGACATGCATTCCCACATATAAGATAACAGTTTTAAAGAAAGCTTGGTGAAAGAGTGTTGTGATCTTGTGCAGAGCAGGCATTAAGAACCTCACTACATCTTAGATATTTAGTTCTGCTAGTTTAACTGGATGTGGAGGGTCATTCATTTTTTTTCAAAAATGTAACTACCCTATGAAGGCAGTTTGGTTGCACACAAAATAATCATCAATGCAACTGGAAATGTCACTTTACTTACACTCAAGGATTCATCAAAAACTCTCATTAGCTTCCCAGTTAAAAAACGAAAAATGCGCACTTTCCTGTCAGCTCCAATAGTGGCCATCTTTGTACCATCCGGGGAGAAATTGATTCCAGTCAAACATGTCTTACACTTGGCAAACTCATAAAGGTCAGTGTCCGTTTTGTACTCCCAGTTAATGTTATTTGGGAATTTGTACCCACGGGGAGGTCCAGTCCAATACTCAATCATCCCACTCTTGTCTGACGATACAACCACTTTGTACGCTGGGTTCAGCTGGATTGCTGTTAGAGGTGAGGAGTGCATCTTGTTGAACACATGCAATTGTGTATTATCTCCTCGTCCATCATAAATAAAGATCTTCCCTGTGCTTTTTTCAGAACATGCCACAGCCGAAATTGCATCTCCAGGACAGTATACCCATTCCGACTGCCCGGGGTGATAGCTGGAATACACAGGTAAAAATGGTGTTAGGGTCACTGTAAAAACTCAGCTGTGGGGGGTGGAGAAGAGAAAATAAAACAACAACCACAACAAAGCCCAATCCACCCAAAAGAGGAAACTAAGTTCTAGGTGGCATTCGGATTTAACCACTTCATGAAATCTCCATTGGACTCATAGGAGGGCTAGAACCCATGCAGTAAAGTAGATATTTAGATCCCCTTTACATGCTACCAGGGCTAAATGCAGGGGATTTTTTTGTTATATAACTGCTATACAGTCTATACAATCTAACTGGATGCGGTACCCCACATGGTGTAACCCATCTCTATAATAAACTGGGAACCTTAATACAACTGCTGTGAGCTTTCCCTCATTCAAAAGTTATAAACTGATGGAGTTGCTTGCCATCTTCTTTTTTCTGTGATTGGTACGCAACTCTCTACTTTTCTCTCAATATCCTGGAGAACATAATACGCAGGGCTCGAAAAATGCACTCGTCCACTCGTCTGTGACGAGTGGACGCCAGTGCTGGACGAGTAGCTTCCCGACCGGCTGTTGTAATTAAACGGCCGGCCGGCAGCTTTACATTCATTTTAACTCCTTTACGCCGCCCGCGGCGAACCGAGGAGCAGTAGAGCTGCCGCCGGCCAGTGGACTGCATTAAAATACGCAACTATGTAAGGTGGCCTGTTCTAAAGTTCTGCCATGTGGAGCATTCAAACACATGTGCAAATGAACCTCCTGCTGACATGCCACTCTAATTGTCACATCGTGTGCTTTTTAAAGTGACAAAAAAAACAAGGAGTTAAATCTTAAAAATAAATTTAAGTATCTCAACTATTAACAGGAATGTATCTTATTTGGGTATCACTCAGCTGTAGATCCTCAAACCATCTCTGAATTGGTCCTTCTGGAGGCTGACTACTTTTGTTCCCCATGGTCGCTGTGTGTGTTGTAAAGTAGCCACCGCTACAAGCTCGCTCCCAGGATGGGCTACAATCTCATGTTTCCTTTACTAATTTGTATTGTGATTGTAATCCATCACGGAAGTGAGCTTGGAGTGGTGGCTACTTTACAAAACACACAGAGACCATGGGGAACAAAAGTAGCCCCCCTCCAGAAAGGACAGTCTCAGCACCAATTCAGAGATGATTTGAGGATCTACAGCCAAGTGGTGCACAAATAAGATACATTTATGTTAATAGTTGAGGTAATTGAATGTATTTTTAAGGTGTAACTCCTGAGTTTAGTGTCACTTTAAATAAGCACATTGGGAATAATATCAGTACCAGCAAAGTGATGGAGCATTATTGTTAATAGTTAAGGTACTTGAATGTATTTTTAAGATTCAATGTCGGAGTTTACCGTCACTTTAAATAAATAAAAAAAAAGTTATTCTGGGATAACTCACAACTGTATATTAAAAATTGAAACGAAAATAACAGCAGTTGTTATGCAATAAATATTTGACACAGATAAGATACATTTTTGTTAATAGTTACTTGAATACAATTTTAAGATTGAACTCCTGAGCTTAACACCACTTTAAGCATAGTACCAGTTCAACCAGTGCAGAATTTAAGTAGATTGTGCAACTGCCAAGGTGTAGTCATGGCATAGTGTACCTACCCAAGCTTTAACATATTGATCATGTCAAAGTTGACCACATCAAAGACTTTCATTGCTTGATCCTCACCCACTGAGCACAGTAGGGCCCCCTCTGAACTGGCTGCAATGCTTTCTATAACACCTGCAAAAAGAGAACAAATAATCAGTCCCATTGTTAGAAGAGCAAGATACTGTTTATGTACCTTTCCAAATATCAAGACCTTCAAACTACTATGCACACATACAGGTCAATGCTACTGTGTGTCACTGAGCCCTAGCAAGCACATCAGGTGCTATCCTTTTTTTGCTACATCTTTTACATATGTCTGCTGTAAAGAAGATACTTGTAGAAGTGATCAGTGCCACATACCGTGATGTACATAAATCATCCTTCCCCAGATGCCAGAACAGTCAACTAGCATAAAGCCCTAAATGCAACATACTTGAAAATCATTATCACAATCAAGTCTTTATTTCTACCCACCTTGGTACCCGTCAGCTAGAGATGCTCTTTAACACACAAGGAAAAAAGCATTGTTAAGATTACATTGCACACTACATTAGTACTAAAAACAGCTTTACCTAAATGACTCCGAAAATGTTTCACAAACTCAATTCCTTCTTCCACTTTTTTCCAGAACTTCACATGCCCATCATGGCTAGCAGTTATGATGAAGTCTGTCCTGTTTAAAGATATGATCCATATGTATTCATGGTTAGTATGTGAACAGGATACAATCCATTCAGTCTACACTTACTATAAAGACAAATCTCACTTACTTGGTGCATACAATGTGGGTGATAACATCCCGATGCATGTAGCTGCGCTCATACATTGAAGCACTTGGCAGGTTGTCTAAGTAAACATGCTCAAACTCTAGAACTGGAGAGAAGTAAAACCTATTATGTAAACTTTGCTTTATAAAATATCTGTGAAATGTGCTCTCTATCCAACTTGTTGGCAAGTTTCATATTGTTACCAGCTAAAGATTTCGGGGTTCCTCGAGTCCTGTCTTTCTTAAAGGAGAACTATGGGGTTAAGGCTTTGCCCCATAGTTCTCCTTAGGGTAACGGGAGGACACAAACCCTAGGCTCAGTATACCGCGAGCTGTAGCTCGTGGTATACCGAGACGCCGCAGCTGAAGCGGATCCCGACAATTGTGCCGGGATCCGCCCAGCTGCATGACTGACAGCTGGCTCTGCCTATCTAGAGGCAGAGCCAGCTGTACCCGCCCCCTCCCCGTCCGTTTCGCCACTCAGCGCTGGCGGATCGGAGCGGGGAGGGGGGAATCCAGCCCCTCCCCTGTCACGGCAGAGAGCCGTGACAGGATCGAGAGGTGAGCGAACGCCGGTATGTGTTCGCTCACCTCACGATCTACTGAGCCGACCTGTGACAGTCTCATTGTCACAGGTCGGCTAGAACTATGAGGTGAGTGAAAAGCACTCACCTCATAGTTCTCCTTTAAGTGAGGTGTACATGGTATGGAACTGGCACAAGAGCCAGGTTGGAAACTTCTCGGCCAAACTGAGCTTGCAGCCAGTCAGTAAGAAGCAGACTGGCTATTAAAAGTATTTTTTATAAATGCAAGCAATGTAGGTACCTGAATGTGGCTTGGAATCAGCCTCTCAGAGTCCCTGTACAGCAGAGGTCGGAGAGGGGAAGGGAGAAGCAGCACAAGGAGCCAGTCAGGTGTGCTGCAGTGCAAGGAGAATGCTGAAAGGAGGAGAGAACAGAGTGACAGTGAGGTGGACTCATAAGTCTGCTTCTTCATTTAATGCCCAGTCACAAAGTGGGGAGGAGACCTGTATGTGAAAGTGAAACTGCAGCAGAGAATGATTACCCCCCCTTAGCTAAACAGGGCTGTGCTGTGTTCAGTCTGGATGGACTGAAATACAAATGCCGGGAGTTTCACATAAAAAAAAATAATCAAGAAACCAAGAAAGGGCGCAAAGAACACTGGCTAGCTAAAGAAGTTATAATGGAGACTAAAGGTGGTGGCACTTACGCGTGATTGCCAGGATCTGGAGATGGACGGCCGGTATGGAGGATCGGGGCACTCGTGGTGTGGTTCCGACTGTAGTTGATGTGCTGGTCCGAGAGGTACATCCACAGGAGGGTGTAGACAGGAAGAGGAGACTTCGTCCGAAGTGCCGTTGGGGGTCTGTGCGGTGTGGAGGAGAGGCAGGGAGATCGCTGTGGTGTCGGCAATGGAAAGCGGGCAATGGACAAGGCTGTAGCAGCCGCAGCTGTGTGTGTCAGCGATCGGTCACTGTCAGGTCTGCTGGGGACAGTGTACGAAAGCAGCTGACAGATGCCGAAGATCAAATTGATGGTGAGATGGAGAGGAATCTAAGCGGACAAGAGCGACGCGTTTCGAGGAACTACCTTTTTTTCAAGCTCGGGTAAAGCAGTGAGATGATGGTGGGAATACGCCGGGTTTAAAAAGTGACAGATGGGCAGGGATAGTGGTAGTAAGCGGCAATCCCGCGGTTTGAAATTGAGAACGGAGTGGTTGGAACCGGGCATATATTAAAAAGCTTGATATGCATAAAGGCCATAGGAGACTGATATGTAGGGAAAGGGCATATCAAGGCATATCAAGCTTTTAAATATATGCCCGGTTCCAACCACTCCGTTCTCAATTTCAAACCGCGGGATTGCCGCTTACTACCACTATCCCTGCCCATCTGTCACTTTTTAAACCCGGCGTATTCCCACCATCATCTCACTGCTTTACCCGAGCTTGAAAAAGAGGTAGTTCCTCGAAACGCGTCGCTCTTGTCCGCTTAGATCCCTCTCCATCTCACCATCAATTTGACCTTCGGCATCTGTCAGCTGCTTCTGTACACCGTCCCCAGCAGACCTGACAGTGACCGCTCGCTGACACACACAGCTGCGGCTGCTACAGCCCTGTCCATTGCCCGGCTCCTGTCCGATTTGATCCCTCTCCATCTCATCATTTGATTCGATCTTCGGCATCTGTCAGCTGCTTTCGTACACTGTCCCCAGCAGACCTGACAGTGACCGATCGCTGACACACACAGCTGCGGCTGCTACAGCCTTGTCCATTGCCCGCTTTCCATTGCCGACACCACAGCGATCTCCCTGCCTCTCCTCCACACCGCACAGACCCCCAACGGCACTTCGGACGAAGTCCCCTCTTCCTGTCTACACCCTCCTGTGAATGTACCTCTCGGACCAGCACATCAACTACAGTCGGAACCACACCACGAGTGCCCCGATCCTCCATACCGGCGTCCATCTCCAGATCCTGGCAATCACGCGTTAAGTGCCACCACCTTTAGTCTCCATTATAACTTCTTTAGCTAGCCAGTGTTCTTTGAGCCCTTTCTTGGTTTCTTGATTATTTGCATTCACAGGTTCTCCTCCTGTTTCCCAGGGCTGCATACATGCCTCCAAGCTAACTCTTTGCCCATCCGAGAGCGCTGTTTATATGTTTTTTCTACATAAAAAAAAATATCAATCATGAAGCCCTTGTTCAGGCACTTCCTCATACAGGATTACTCTCTCTGTCCTGTCTCTCAGTTGTTCTCCTGTGTTGTCACTGTCACATGGGCCTCTGATGGAGACTAGTTTCACCTCTGCAAAATTCAGCAGTAATGTCACAGCCAGTGCCCCCGCTTGCACGTGGCGTCACGGCCAGTGCCCCCGCTGGCGCGTGGCGTCACGGCCAGTGCCCCCGCTGGCGCGTGACGTCACGGCCAGTGCCCCCGCTTGCGCGTGACATTTTCCAAAAAACAAACAGCAGCCACCAGTGGGACACACATCACTATAAGGTGCCGTATTATAGATAGATCCTCGATGACTACTGTGGTTTAAACCCCCTATGGGATTATACCGTGTTCTTTTTAGTGCCTTATTTGTACCTAGCCAATACCCCAATACAATGACAGACCACACTCCAACATTAATTAGGCCTCCTATGCTGACGAGCTAAGTTGGAAATGTTGAACCTTTTTACCCCCAGACTGGCCTGCCTGTGTATGGCTGGACATGTTGGGACCTCTCATGTACCTCTCCTCTTCTTGCTCTGCGTCGCCTCTGTTGGAAGCGGTCCTATCCAGCTTGCCTGTTCTTCCTCTTTCTCCTCTTCTCGCTTTTGTGGCTCATCTCGTCTCGCCTTCTTGTCATCCTGTCTCGCCTTCTTGTCATCCTGTCTCGCCTTCTTGTCATCCTCACTGCTTAAACTGGAGGACGAGGAAGAACTGCTACTGCTACTACTACTACTGCGGCTTCTCCTTGCCCTCCGCTTCCTCTCCGACATGTTTCTCAGCGTACGACGTCGTTAAGATGCGACTCGTAGTGCAGGCCGTGGCTGATGACGTCAGGACCAATCAGAGGCGGGTGCGCGCTTCTCGTCTAGCGCTGGGAAGAGAGCCTGCAGTACGTCAACTTACTGAATGCGAGGGATCGCCGAGCCGGGACCTAGGCACCTCTAGTTACCATGGTAACGACCTGTTGTGTTAGGGGAGAAGTAGAGCAGTTACCCAGAGCAACCACTCATGTTTTTTTAAAGCTGGATTGGTTGTTGAACACTTATCTAACTTTTGGTCCGTGTTTTGTCCATGAGCTTCACAGAGTGTTGGTAGCTGACCTCCAGGCTGGGTCATTCTCTGACCCCGAACGCAGACAGATTGCATCCAGGACCAGTTATCTGTCCCCAGCTGTTAGTTGCCCCTGGATGTGCAGGGACATGCGGACAGAGGTGGCTCTGATCAGCCTGGCAGTGCATTGTACAGGCTTCCCGGCCCCAACTGTCCGCATACACCTGAGATCTCAGCCGCAGGGATCCGCTGTCTGGTCCTAATTACACGTGTGAATGAGACTGAAGTAAATATTTTGCTTAGGATAGAGTATGGCATGATTAACCCCTTACCACTGGCCCTTTAAGGCAGGGGTAGGCAAACTCTGACCCTCCTATGTTGCAACTACAAGTCCCATGATGCATTGCAATACTCTGACAGCCATAAGTATGATTTACAGAGACAAAAGCATGATGGGATTTGTAGTCTCACCAGAGTTGGAGGGCCAGAGTTTGCCTAACTCTGCTCTAAGGAGTTCTTAACGCCTAGAGGTGTTTCTTGTGATTCCAGTGTGATCACTCTGATTGGCTGGTACAGGGATCATGTGATCTGGAGCCTGTCCTACCAGCTCCTGATTGTAAACAGTGAGTTGGAGCCGTTCTTTCAAAGATTGTGACTACGTTAGAATGTGTGGCCGGTCATGTGGACACATTTTAACGTAAACCCGCCGAGTTTTACATTAGTGGAATGTTTGACCGCCCATTAGGTCAAACATTCCAACGCTTTGTCAGCTGTTCCAGGGCAGATTGGCATTGCATGTGCAGGGCAACTGATCTGCCCTGGAACAGCTGATCGGTCCTCAAATGTGCGGTAGAATGTTAGATCGCACTCACAAAGTCAGATAGAAGTGACATTTGAGGACCGATCAGCTGTTCCAGGGCAGATCAGTTCTCCCGCACATGCGATCTGCCCTGGAACAGCTGACAAAGTGTTGGAATGTTTGACCTAATGGGCGGTCACACATTTCACTTCTGAAAAACTGGGTGTGATTACGTTAAAATGTGTGACCTCATGATCGGTCACACATTTCAACGTACAGTAGTCGCAAACTTTGATAGAACAGGAGCTGTCTGTGACAGCGCAGTACCACTGCTGGGGGCCACGAGTACATGTTTGCAGTGGCACAGTATTGATATATGCCGGCAGCAACAGGTCACTGTCAGATTTGGGTTTTTGTTCGGCAATGTGAGTCCTGTTGGGGAAATTTTCAGGACCAGATTTTCCAGTCCCGCAGTCAACCATTTTGTCACGCCAGGTCTCGTGGGACCCGCCTAAAAATAATTCTACACTCAGCTCACAGTAACTTAGCTTGTTGAGTAAGTTGTAGAACGTTTTCAATAAAGAATAAGGGCCGCGGTGTACCCAGAGTATCTGACCCCCAGGGCAGGTCATTGTGTAACACCATCTGCTGTACACAACAAAAAGGTTTTCAGTGTTAACCGTGAAACAAATAATGGTTTGATGAAAAGAAATGCAGACATAAAAAATTGTGGTGCCCCCCTAAGATTAGTGGTTTGTGTAGAGGTGACCCCCACATTGGAGGTCAGTGGGAATTGCCCCCATTTTTATTATTATACAGGTTTTATATAGCACCAACTGTTTGTGCAGTGCCTTGCAAACGCATAGAGGAGGTGGAATAGGGTTCCCTGAAAAGGTAAGTTTTCCGAATCACTGGTGGTCAGTGGCAATTTGGCCCTTACATTGGTGGTCAGTGGAAATTTGGCCCTTACATTGGTGGTCAGTGGAAATTTGGCCCTTACATTGGTGGTCAGAGGAAAATTACCCCCTTACATTGGTGGTCAGTGGATATTTGGCCCTTACATTGGTGGTCAGAGGAAAATTGCCCCCCTTCATTGGAGGTCAGTGAAAATTTGGCCCTTACATTGGTGGTCAGAGGAAAATTGCCCCCCTTCATTGGAGGTCAGTGAAAATTTGGCCCTTACATTGGTGGTCAGAGGAAAATTGCCCCCCTTACATTGAAAGTCAGTGGAAATTTGGCCCTTACATTGGTGGTCAGTGGAAATTTGATCCTTACATTGGTGGCCAGTGGAAATTTGATCCTTACATTGGTGGCCAGTGGAAATTTGACCCTTACATTGGTGGTCAGTGAAAATTTGGCCCTTACATTGGAAGTCTGTAGAAATGTGTCCCTTACATTGGTGGTCAGAGGAAAATTGCCCCCTTGCTGTAGAGGTCAGTGGAAATTTGGCCCTTACATTGGTGGTCAGTGGAAATTTGATCCTTACATTGGTGGCCAGTGGAAATTTGATCCTTACATTGGTGGCCAGTGGAAATTTGACCCTTACATTGGTGGTCAGTGAAAATTTGGCCCTTACATTGGAAGTCTGTAGAAATGTGTCCCTTACATTGGTGGTCAGAGGAAAATTGCCCCCTTGCTGTAGAGGTCAGTGGAAATTTGGCCCTTACATTGGTGGTCAGAGGAAAATTACCCCCTTACATTGGTGGTCAGTGGATATTTGGCCCTTACATTGGTGGTCAGAGGAAAATTGCCCCCCTTCATTGGAGGTCAGTGGATATTTGGCCCTTACATTGGTGGTCAGTGGAAAATTGACCCTTACATTGGTGTTCAGTGAATATTTGGCCCTTACATTGGAAGTCAGTAGAAATTTGGCCCTTACTTCTGGTGGTCAGAGGAAAATGTTCCCCTTGCATTGGAGGTCAGTGGAAATTTGGCCCTTACATTGGAGGTCAGTAAACATTTGCCAGTTACATGGGTGATCATTGGAAATTTGTCATGGCTGCTAACCCACCCTCCCCCTCCACATATGTATACTTACCTAGATCTGACAGCCATGACCTATCCTTTATCTTCTTTGCATATCCCATGTCACAATAGGTGCATATATAAAAACATGACGCCTCAGCTTTTCCCGTAGAAAGCAAGTTTGGCCACGATGACCCCAAAGCCTTCCTCTTGGTCCTTTAATATGATTGACCGGTGAGGATTGAGGCCAAGCTTGGCTTTTACAGAAACGGAAGATTTCTTTGTAAATAACGATATTTTTCCTGCACTCTACACTGCATGTAACCTCTGCTTATGTGTCTTCTTACCACATGGCTGGTTTGTACCAGGTTTACAATAAGAAAATTGAATATCATCCTTTAGCATGTGTGGTCACAGTCATCTAGATTTAGAGTAGACATCATGGCAGCAGTCTTGGGTTTTTCTCCTGACAATTTCTTGTTTTTCTTTTCAGGATAACCTGGATGCACTTCTCAAAGAGGTAGGTGAATTCATTAGTATGGAAATTGTATCATCGCCTTACAAAACCACTTCTATAACCATGTATTAGGGATGTCCCGATACCACTTTTTCAAGAACAAGTACTGTCCCTCCTGTACTTGCCGATACCAATTACCGATACTTTTTCTTAAAGAGATATGTGACATTTTTTTCTAAAACAATACAGACTAATGCTTTTAGGGCAGTTTCTCACCAGTGCTGCGTGCATTGGAGGCGACAGGTTCTCTTTAAGGTGACATTAGGGGTCTTTTAGACCTAGTGTCACCTTTCTACTTCACTGAATGTAAATACAGCAGGCAGTGGCTGGGAGCAATAGCCAGCCTGCTATTGAATATTTTAAATTGCAATAGCCAATAGCAGGCTGGCTATTGTACCCGCCCACTGCCTGCTGTCAATCAGCAAAGGAAGTAACGGAAGACAAAGTTCTCAATCAGGTCCTCTCTGCTGATTGACAACAGGCAATGAGCAGGTACAATAGCCAGCCTGCTATTGCAATTTAAAATATCCAATAGCAGGCTGGCTATTGTTACAAGTGTCCATTCCTTTTCCACTTGATGAAACTGTTTGCTTTTGGTGATGTATCTCAGTGACAGATGTCGGTGCTCCTTATGTGATAAATTTATAAAATCTGCACTTATGGGCGCTGCACACTCATTACTGTAAAGCTGCTCCTTATGTGTTTAATAATAATGCCCTCACGAGACGTACACAGAAGTTTTCCCTCTCAATGAAAGAAGAGAAGGTCTGTTCTGTGTGAAAACAAGATTTACAGCTTCTCTCCTCCCCCGTGAGCACACTGAACGGACATTCTTTTCTTTCATTGAGAGTGACAACTGGTGTGTAGGTCGGGTGATTGCATTACACATAAGGAGCACGGACATCTCACACTTTGTGATATATTACCAAAAGCAAACAGTTTTACCAAGTTGAAAAGGAGGGGACACGGAGGAGCAGCAGCTAATGTACAGAGGGGAGGGGGGCAACAGGGGATTTCACAGCCATAGTCTCTTCTCCCATCTCATGCTGGCTACAGCGGTCTGTGAAAGGGACACCGAGCTCTGCAGCCAGCACCAGCACCAGCAGGGAGAAAAGACTGTCCACACATAACCCTTCCCGCCCGCCATGCTGTCACACTTCCGTCCGGAGAGGTCAGAGCGCAGAGGGAGCCTGCGTTTGGTGGAGAGGTATTCCGGGGGAGGGGCTATGCGGGTCAATGGCCGAAGCTAGTTAAAAAAAAATTAAAGGGCCGGTATCTGGTCTATGCATCGGGGCATTTTCAGGAGTACAAGTACTTCTGAAAATGCCCTCTATCGGCCCCGATACCGGTACTAGCATCGGTATCGGGACATCCCTACCATGTATAGATCTTCTAATATTATCTGCGCTATGCTACATATGATGAACAGCTGAGTTGCTGCAGTCACTGATCAGCTGACAGTTTTACCCCCAGCTCCATCAGTTTCCAGATCAAAGTTTGCTGAGCCGGGTAATGCCGATAGGACCACCCACAAATTGAACTTCTGGTTGATTCACCAGGAAACAGCCGACATTCAATCCAATGTATGGCCAGCTTTAACATACTGGTTAAACAGAAGGAAATGGGCCTGATAACAACAGATGGAGTAAATGCCTTTTCCTTTTACAAAGCACTGACTTGCTTTGGACATGGTTATGAGATAATACACTGCTCAAGAAAATTAAAGGAACACTTTTTAATCAGAGTATAGCATCAAGTCAGTGAAACTCCTGGGATATTGATCAGGTCAGTTAAGTAGCAGAGGGGGTTGTTATTCAGTAGAATTAACAACTGGTGCACTAGATGGGCAAAAATGAGACAACCTCCAAAACAGGAATGGTTTTACAGGTGGAGGCCACTGACATTTTTTTTCCTTACTCATCTTTTCTGACTGTTTTTCACTAGTTTTGTATTTGGCTAGAGTCAGTGTCACTACTGGTAGCATGAGGCGATACCTGGACCCTATAGAGGTTGCACAGGCATGCTTCTCCAGGATGGCACATCAATGCGTGCCATTGCCAGAAGGTTTGCTGTATCTCCCAGCACAGTCTCAAGAGCATGGAGGATATTCCAGGACACAGGCAGTTACTCTAGGAGAGCTGGACAGGGCCGTAGAAGGTCCTTAACCCATCAGCAGGACCGGTATCTGCTCCTTTGAGCAAGGAGGAACAGGATGAGCACTGCCAGAGCCCTACAAAATGACCTCCAGCAGGACACTGGTGTGAATGCCTCTGTCCAAACAATCCGAAACAGGCTTCATGAGGGTGGCCTGAGGGCCCAACATCCTCTAGTGGGCCCTATGCTCACTGCCCGGCACTGTGGAGGTCGATTGGCATTTGCCATTGAACACCAGAATTGGTCTGCCACTAGCGCCCTGTGCTTTTCACAGATGTGAGCAGGTTTATCCCGAGCACATGTGACAGACGTGAAAGGGTCTGGAGAAGCCATGGAGAACGTTATGCTCCCTGTAACATCGTTCAGCATGACCGGTTTGGTGGTGGATCAGTGAGGCATAGCCATGGAGGGACGCACGGACCTCTACAGGCTAGACAATGGCACCCTGACTGCCATTAGGTATTGGGATGAAATCCTTGGACCCATTGTCAGACCCTACGCTGGTGCAGTGGGTCCTGGGTTCCTCCTGGTGCACGACAAAAAGCACATAAGAATAGTACGGACAGCGCTCTCGGATTGGGCCGTGGGAATGGGATACTGTCGCTCTGCCTCGCTTGCAGCCCTGGGAGACAGGAGGAGTGCCTGTACTTGTGGAACCAAAAGACAAACGTAAGGGCGCAAGGCTAGAGGGACTATGAAACTAATTGAAACATAGTGAGGGAAGCGAGAGGAGAAGAAACACTTACTTTTAAGTAGGTCTCGGGACCGGATGGATGTAGAACAGTGGAGGAGATCGTGGAGTCCGACGTGTAAATCAGTGAAGGCTGGTGTGTTGCCTCGGGTGGCTCATCTCAGGGAAATGAGAAGAGAGGAGTGGACAGGGGTGCAGGTGATGGCACACACAATGTGTCCGTGTCCCCGCTGAAGCGATGTAGAGTGCCGGTGATGTGAAGACTGACGTCGGGCTGGGCTGCAGCAGCGGGTGGAGGAACTCGAGCTGTGAGATGGACGTGACTGGGCCAGTGCCCGTGCCGTGGTGATGATGTAGGATGGTAAATCGGCCGGGATGATGGTGAGGTGAAGAGGGATCAGGTTGGTAAGGTGGTATGTGAATGCTCGGGAGCAACGCATTTCGAGGATGTTACCTCTTTGTCAAGCTCAATCGGAATGGTGTAACGGCGGCGGGAAACCGACGATTTAAATGTGACAGCTGGGCGGAGTTTGGAGGCGGTAAGCGGCACCGCCGTGAGTGACAGCTGTTCAGTCTCGACGTATGCCCGGGGGTTCCGTGTGTGCCTTACATGTGGGGATAATTCAAAAGACTGTGAATGAGGCATTTATGGGAAGCGAAGAAAAATAGTTAGTTATGAAACTATATAGCTCACACCACCCACCACCAATTAAATACTCTTCACCCCCAATCCCAACGGAACTTACCAGTTCATACCCTCTGTCCCAACACATCTAGTCCCCCACACACCACAGACCGCCAGGGAGCCACCCGAGCGATAAGTACCTCCCCAACCAGCTCCACTCACTCCACTCACCCAACCTCCCAGTCCCCTATCCCCAACCCCACGATTCACAATAATGACAATTTAGTCACAGAGACCCCTACGTCACCACTACCCCATACCCGCCAAGCTGACACCAGGTCTTTTTTAGACATGGGCCACCCACACCCACCCAAACTAAAAAGAAAGTCACCAGAAGAGGCAACAGAACAGGAAAACCTGGTCCAAAAAAGGAAAAACAACAAACTAGAACCTTCTACGATTAAGATCTTCAATTTATCCAGTCACACCCTCAATCCACACGAGATATCACTACTTCAAAAAGGCCTTAATTTTGCCCCTACTACCAAACCCAATCCTTTCACGCTGTTTGTAGACCTCAACAGGTTCATTCGCACACTAACCCTCAAAAGACACTATGGAAATAAAAAACCAAACGCACAAACCATCCCCACTCTTCCTGCGTCCCACAACACATCCAGTAACACTACCCTTACGGATGACATTGACCTTGATACTTTTGAGATCCTGTGCGACCTAGCCGACCCGCACTCGTCTTACCACTTCACCACAGACACTACGTTAGAGGCTGACATCATCCACACTCCCTTCAAACCCAAATCCACTTTCTATCCGTTACATTCTAAGGGTTCATTCATCGACACCTTTTACCACGTCACTTACTCAGATCTTCTCCTGATGTGCAAAAACGCTCAGCATCATCACAACCTTAGCTCCCCGAATTTAGAGCCTTAAAAGAACTCACCTCCAATCACGACCTTATCATCAAACAGGCAGACAAAGGGGGCGGAATCGTAGTCCAAAACCGCACGGACTACCTATCTGAAGCCCATAGGCTCCTAGGCGATCAGTCCACCTACACCCACCTAACGGCAGGCCCACTCAACACCTATAAAACGGAGCTTCTTCAACTCCTTGAAACCGCCTCCAATGAATCCATTCTGACAAAGAAAGAAAGGGCATTTCTTTACCCACCACATCCCCACACCCCGCACTTCTATCACCTCCCGAAAATTCATAAAAATGCCACTGTACCCCCGGGGTGACCCATCATCGCTAGCACTGACAGCCTCACTAGTGGACTATCAGTTTATATCGACCACTTCCTACAACCATTGTTACAAAATTTACCCTCATACATCAAAGATTCTGGCCATCTGATACAAATCCTCTCCAACTATCAATGGCACTCCTCATACACATGGCTTTCCTTAGATGTCACCTCTCTATACACCTCCATACCACATGATGTAGGGTTGAACGCATTGCAATATCATTTATCTTCCCATTCCACTTTACATCATAAACAGGCACAGTTCATTGTGAACTGCACTAAGTTCACACTTGAACATAACTATTTTGCATTCATGGAATCTTTCTACCTACAAATCAGAGGCACAGCTATGGGGGCCAATTACGCCCCCAGCTATGACTCAGATCTTCTCCTGATGTGCAAAAACGCTCAGCATCATCACAACCTTAGCTCCCCGAATTTAGAGCCTTAAAAGAACTCACCTCCAATCACGACCTTATCATCAAACAGGCAGACAAAGGGGGCGGAATCGTAGTCCAAAACCGCACGGACTACCTATCTGAAGCCCATAGGCTCCTAGGCGATCAGTCCACCTACACCCACCTAACGGCAGGCCCACTCAACACCTATAAAACGGAGCTTCTTCAACTCCTTGAAACCGCCTCCAATGAATCCATTCTGACAAAGAAAGAAAGGGCATTTCTTTACCCACCACATCCCCACACCCCGCACTTCTATCACCTCCCGAAAATTCATAAAAATGCCACTGTACCCCCGGGGTGACCCATCATCGCTAGCACTGACAGCCTCACTAGTGGACTATCAGTTTATATCGACCACTTCCTACAACCATTGTTACAAAATTTACCCTCATACATCAAAGATTCTGGCCATCTGATACAAATCCTCTCCAACTATCAATGGCACTCCTCATACACATGGCTTTCCTTAGATGTCACCTCTCTATACACCTCCATACCACATGATGTAGGGTTGAACGCATTGCAATATCATTTATCTTCCCATTCCACTTTACATCATAAACAGGCACAGTTCATTGTGAACTGCACTAAGTTCACACTTGAACATAACTATTTTGCATTCATGGAATCTTTCTACCTACAAATCAGAGGCACAGCTATGGGGGCCAATTACGCCCCCAGCTATGCCAACTTAACTATGGGTTTCTGGGAGAACCATTCCATATGGGCCCACAATCCGTTCGCGTCCCACATCGTCTTCTATGGACGTTACATAGACGATATTGTCATCATTTGGGACGGCCCCACAGAGTCCATACCATCCTTTGTGGCCCACTGTAACCACAATGAACTGGGCCTTTCCTTCACATACGTGGCTGACCCAGTTAAATTAGTCTTCTTAGACCTTGAACTATCCTCCGACGATCCACTATCACCACTAGTAACCACACAAAACCCACTAGCGGCAACTCCTACGTACATTTCCACAGCAGCCATCACCCTAGATGGCTCCAAAACATTCCCAAAAGCCAATTCTGCAGATTAAAACGGAACTGTTCTAAACTAACAGACTTCAACACACAGCAAATTGCTTGCTAAAAAATTCCAAGAAAAAGCCTACCCTGACACACTCATCCACAATGCATACTCAACCTTCATACATCCGCCCACACGAAACATACACGAACGCCCGGAGTCTGAAGCACAAACTAGATTCATCACCACATTTAACCATAACCACAACAAAATACAAAGCATAATCTGTAAGAACTGGCACATTTTAAAGCAAGACCCCAAACTAGGCCCGTTTATCTCCACTAAACCCGCAGTCACTTTTAGAAAAGCCCGTAACCTTAGGAACAAAATAGCACCGAGCAGGATCACGACCATGCACTCTAACAACACATTACACCTGCAGTTTGACAATAGGGTAGGGACACATCAATGCAAAAAACCTCGTTTCCTCACTTGTCAGTTTATTACTCACGGGCAATCATCCTTCACTGACCATTTAGACAATAGCTATTCCATAAAACAATTCATCACTTGCTCACACGACCATGTAGTGTATGGTCTAAAATGCCCGTGCAATTTAATATATATTGGCCGTACCATCCGCCCGTTAAGAAAAAGGATAGGGGACCACAGACGCTTTATTGCAGAAGGCAACTGTGACCACAGTGTCCCCAGACATTTCGCCATCAAACATAGCAAACGCATACAGGATTTACGTGTTTTTGCTATCGAACACATCCCAGACCACTTTTCCCCAGCCGTGCGTTTCCAAAAGTTATGTAGACAAGAAACTTTTTGGATCTACAAACTCAACACTCTCGCTCCAACAGGGTTAAATGAGGAATTGGAAATTGTAACTGTTTTATAATTAATTGAGGCCCACCTAAGGCTCTGGACACACGATCGAATTGGCTCCGCCCCCTTATAGATGTTCGTGTCCATCAGCACAAGCACAGGTCTCTCATAGGCATCTACTATCAGTCCGAGCCGCATGCCTATACAGAAACCTGATCACTCGAGTGCTCTTGCCCCTTTTTCTAATCCCCCTATATATTTTAATTTTCATAATCGACACATATTTTTAAATCCAACAATTTTTAAATTTTAATTATAACTTTTAAAAAAAATGATTTATTCATTTTATATTTTGTGTCATCTAAGCTCCAATTCACCCCCAAATTCTTCACCTTTACACTATGAATACTAAATAGACTTCTCTTTATACAGATTATTCTCAATACAAGCCCCAAACTACGAATCAAGATTTAATAGCCTCTTCTTACATACACATTCATGCATATATCCACACGCAATACCTGGAGCCACAGTCTCAGCACATCACCACGGAACTTTTTAACCCTTTTTATTGAATGCCCTGCTCATCCCCGCTCGACTCAAAAGATCGTTCGTCATACCAAAGACTATCATGTCGCTCTTAATGAATCACTCAGAGTTTCTATGTTCACACTTTAGTTTCATAACTTACTATTGTTCTTCGCTTCCCATAAATACCTCATTCACAGTCTTTTGAATTATCCCCATATGTAAGGCACACACGGAACCCCCAGGCATACGTCGAGACTGAACAGCTGTCACTCACGGCGGTGCCGCTTACCGCCTCCAAACTCCGCCCAGCTGTCACATTTAAATCGTCGGTTTCCCGCCGCCGTTACACCATTCCGATTGAGCTTGACAAAGAGGTAACATCCTCGAAATGCGTTGCTCCCGAGCATTCACATACCACCTTACCAACCTGATCCCTCTTCACCTCACCATCATCCCGGCCGATTTACCATCCTACATCATCACCACGGCACGGGCACTGGCCCAGTCACGTCCATCTCACAGCTCGAGTTCCTCCACCCGCTGCTGCAGCCCAGCCTGACGTCAGTCTTCACATCACCGGCACTCTACATCGCTTCAGCGGGGACACGGACACATTGTGTGTGCCATCACCTGCACCCCTGTCCACTCCTCTCTTCTCATTTCCCTGAGATGAGCCACCCGAGGCAACACACCAGCCTTCACTGATTTACACGTCGGACTCCACGATCTCCTCCACTGTTCTACATCCATCCGGTCCCGAGACCTACTTAAAAGTAAGTGTTTCTTCTCCTCTCGCTTCCCTCACTATGTTTCAATTAGTTTCATAGTCCCTCTAGCCTTGCGCCCTTACGTTTGTCTTTTGGTTCCTGGTGCACGACAATGCTCAGCCTCAAGTGGCGAGAGTATGCAGCCAGTTCCTTGAGGATGAAGGAATTTAAACCACTGAATGGCCCCCACGCTTATCTGACCTGAATCCAATAGAACACCTCTAGGACGTTATGTCTCGGTCCATCCGACGACGCCAGGTTGCACCTCAGTCTGTTCAGGAGCTCAGTGATGCCCTGGTCCAGATCTGGGAGGAGATGCCCCAGGACACCATCCGTCGTCTCATTAGGAGCATGTCCCGACGTTGTCAGGCATCCATACAAGCACGTGGGGGGCCTTACAAACTAATGAGTACCAATTTGAGTTGCTGCAATGGAATTTCAGCACAATGTACTAGCCTGCAGCATCATTTGTTCACTTTGATTTTGGGGTGTCTTTGAATTCAGCTCTCTGTAGGTTGATAATTTTTCACTTCCATCAAACGATGTGGCATCCTTTCGTTCCTAACACATTATCTAGTCCAGTATACAGTAGATATCCAGCATGATATTTTTCCCCATTGAGATCTGATGTGTTTTCAAAGTGTTCCTTTATTTTTTTGAGCAGTGTTTTATCAATGAGTTTGTGTCATCCAGCCTAAGCATTCAACTTAACAGGATACATTTACAAAAATTAAGATCTGTTTTTAATAACACGATTACTGGATTCATGACCCTCTTGCCTCCAGAGCCCCCCATTTAGCTCTTGTTTTTGGTCACCCACGAGAAAAGGATTGTTTTTCTGTTTCCAGAACAAAAGCGCGTAAGAATGCTGCCTGATAGCTCGCACTGGTGTCAGTACAGTATACACTAAGACACATTAATTGAATCATTGTACTGGAATAGGACAGCAAAGTTCCTACTGCATCATTGGGTGTACAGACTTACCCAAAAGTAGCTTTTTCCCTACAGGAGTGGTTGTCATTTTTCCAAATTACAGTGAGGTTATGTGACCTGGTTAAACACAGTATAGAAACCGCCATTGGTGACACGAAAATGATAGTTGCTAAACAGTTTTGCTAGTTTGCTGATTTCAGTACTTTGAGTGAACTCTTTAGATGCATATTTGTTCTGGGTCTGTGACTTGGGAAGTATTGAAGCCATTAGATCAGTATACCAGCCAGGTAAGCAGCATTTTCACGAGGACAGCAACACTAGCCTTCGGGTTTCTTACAGCTCAGTTTTACTGTAATATAGTGTATATTTTAAATGTAAATATTCTATATTGGGAACTCATCCCACGGGACAAAGCTCAACACCTTCTGTATGTTCAGATATTTCCATCTGTCCTCATTTCAGAAATGGGATGTAATTGGCAGATTTAATTCTTCACGGGCCTTTTTTGTCTTCCAGACGGAGCTGCTTGCACGGCACATGTCCACATACCAACATGAGTTACCGCCTGATCTAGATTCTGATACAAAAGTCAGCGAGGAAGCTAAGAATGAGTTGATACAGGAGTGTGAAGACCTATGGACAGACATGAAGCAGGTATGTGTATAATTAGAAGTTGGTACCCCTGAATGTTTAGTATTTTTGAATGTTATTAGCAGTATTACATGAAATAACATTTTTTTACTGGTCTTTTAACCCTTTCGCTGCCACCGCCGTAAGGCATACGGCGGAACAAAAGTGTTCCCGGATGGCCAGCTCAGTATGCCTTACGTCGGTGGCATTTACAGTTCTGCTATAAGCTCATGGTCGCTAAAGCTTATAGCAGAACTGTTCAGTAGACTGTCCCCTTCAAATTAATAGCTGTCCCCTTCAAATTAATAGCTGTCATCAGCGGCTCACATGCCGCTGATTACAGCTATTAGCAAAAATACCAGGCGCCGGCATCTGCAGTCTCTAATCCCTGCCTGGAGGCGCTTCAGGCAGGGAACTGTGTCGGCATGGATCCCCGCTTGTAGGATCTGTGGCATTGGGGATCCGAAGTAAAATCACCGGCAGGGGAGCGAGCAGCCGCTGTCATCCTGTCAATTTTCGGATGACAGCAGCTCTGTGCGTGGCCGAGCGGGGGGGAATCGATAAATATCATTGATATTTATCAATCCTCCTGTGCAGAGCAAACACCGGAGTGATCGTCTGATCACTCCGCTGTTTGTAAATAACTGGGGACACATAGTACTATGTGTCCCCAGTTATGAATGAACAGGGTGTGATTTACATCACAGCCTGTTCATTCAAGAATTTATGAATGGGGAGTAGCACTCACTACAGAGGCTCCTCCCCATTCATAAACTAATGATAGTAAGATATTTTTACTATCATTAGTTTCTGAATTAATGGGAAGCCTCTGTACTGAGTGCTTCCCATTCATTGAGTGCTGAGGCTGCAGAAAAAGAAATTGATGACTCAATTTCTATTTCAAAAGGGAAATGTCAGGGGTCTGTTTAGACCACAGATATTTCACCGTAGCCCCCCCAACAGTAAAACAAAAAACAAACAAAATTATTAAAAAATGTCAAAAAAAATTACATTTAAAAATAAATATAAAAAATGTCAAAAAAAAATTTACATTTTTTTTAAATGTGTAAAAAAAACGAATAGAAAAAAGCACAACCCCCCTCTCCCCCCACATAACATACACAAACTGTGGTGTACGCCATGCACATGCGCTGCAGTGCGTTGTTAGAACGCATCGCAGTGCATGATTTTTTTTCTTTTAAAAAAACAACATTAAATTAACTGTGGCAGCGCATGGCAAAGCTTTGTGACGCATTGCCATGCGTTGTGATACCTTGTGTTGTAATTAAATATACGCATGTATCATTTTATCACAACACAAACGCCAACACCGCGCAAAAACAATTTTTTAACAATAGTCGCTTATTTACAGTTTTGCGTACCTTCATTTTTTACCTTTTCGCAAAAAGGCGCAATTTCAAATTTGCAAATATTTGTTATTTATTAACTCAATACAGTTTTATCTTTTAGATTTAGTCAGGAAATTATTATTTTTTTTGTCCGCTGATACCGATTTTAGTGTGTTTTATCAATTGAATTGTGTATTTTTATCGGTTTAATATTAATTTGAGAAACATTTGCGCAATTATCGCAGGGCCTACAAATTTAGTATCACCATCTTTTTATTCTACCGGGCCTTCGCTTTCAGAAAATATATGGTTTGGGGGATCTTTTACAAACGTTAGCAACGCAGCACTTGAAAATCAAATCAATGGGAAAAATTGCAAAAATGGCGTGGCCAGCTGAATTGAAAAATGTTCCGGAGGGCTTGGCAGCGAAAGGGTTAAAGGAACTACACACTCGCAAAATTTAATATAAAGCAAGCCTAGCAAGAAAATGACATTCTATCTGTATTGCTTGTGTTGCTTTCTCATCTGTGTGTAGAATGTGTAAAAACATTAGCTGTACAGTATAAAAATACGTTTTTGTTGCACACATTTGCAAATATACTAATTTCCATATCAAGGCAATTCTACAAAGTGTCTCTAAACTATCTGAGCTCCCAACCTGAGTACATTGAGAGCACACATAACTTGGTGGTAAGGTCATTCTCATTAAAGGTACAGCAAGAACCAGAACCCAGACTCACTCAAGAAAGCTGAAGACCCCCTCAATAAATGTATGTGCCAAATCCAACAAAGCAAATATGGCCGGCATTGTAGCAAAGGAAAATTCACACGAATATGGAAATAAACTGAACAATACGAACAATTCCTACATGTGCCTAACCACTGGCGGAACTACCAGGGTTGCAGCAGTCGCATGTGGGACCGGACCCTGGCGTTCTGCCACTTGGGGGAGGTGGGATGTGGCAGAACGGAAGAAGAGGACCTGGCCCTGCTAAACGCTGACACTGGAAGCGATTGTGGCTGAGCTACCACCAAATTGCTTCCAGGGGCGAGTGTAGTGCTCCCCCACACCCACTGAACACACCCCCCTTTCTTCCCCGACTCCGCTGCCCCTCCTGTGGGTCTGGGACCAGCATCACGAGTGTTGGTGGGATGCGGGGAAGGAGACTGGGGAACATGCGTTTGCTGATCTCCTTCCCGCTAAATGGGGGTGGAAGCAATCCTGATTGCACCACTTCTGGTCCCTCAGCTGTCATTCCCCAACTGTAGAAGCTATTGGAGGGGCTCTTTGTGGTTTCTTGCACCCGGGCCCTGAAGTTTCTAGTTACGCCTCTGCTCCTAACAGTAGCTTGACAAATCTTAAGGAAGGCAAGCGTACACTAATGCACATATTCATAGCACACATATCCTTGTTCTTTCTACTAAACTCATATTTGCTTGATCAATCAGAAGCAATCAACTAAATTCTGCCACTCGATTGAGAGCTCACTAGATCGATCCAGTAGATGATCTTTGGTTTGTAATTTTTATTCAGCTCAATCAGTTTTAATTGCATTAAAAGATCAATTTGTTTGAACATATCAATACATGTGGTGCCAGTGCCACCATTATGCCGATCTGGCCCTGCTGATTTGCATATGTCTGAAATCCTCTGAGGTTGCATGGAAAGGAGGGATCAAAATCCTTTTCTCTCAAATACCCTAGAGGACCATAAAAAGCCAGCCAAACTGCTCGTCAATCTGTCACCTCTTAAGCAATTGTAAAGGGGGCCTCAACTGCAACCCTTGACATCACCAAAGGGCCGCACATAATTTTCAGTATACGTAATGCTACAGAAGACTGTAGACATACCTGAGGAGGTGGTCACAGACTGCTGATATGCTACAGGAGTGCAAGACAAGACACAGAGAGCGCCTCCATCGCATAAAAACTTTTTAATAAACAAATACAAAAATGGTATAAAGGTACTCACAAAGGACGAATAAAAACAGGCATAAAAGGGTCAGAACGAAAGGTGCATATCCACCGGCTGTTCGTCTTCCCTGGTAGTGAAGTGGTTTACGCGTTTCAGAGGTCACGCCTCCTTCCTCAGAATACTCCCAATTGGTTCTGAGGAAGGAGCCGTGACCTCTGAAACGCGCAAACCACTTCACTACCAGGTAAGACGAACAGCCGGTGGATATGCACCATTTCGTTCTGACCCTTTTATGCCTGTTTTTATTCGTCCTTTTGTGAGTACCTTTTATACCATTTGTTTTTATTCGTTTATTAAAAAGTTTTTATGCGATGGAGGCGCTCTCTGTGTCTTGTCTTGCAGTGCTGAGGTTGTTCTGAACCTGGTGAGAGCCGCCCCGTTATCGCCCTGCACTCCTGAACATCATTAATTAATACTCTCTTGAATCAAAATCTGCTGGCGCGGTGTTTGATTCTGTATGCTACAGGAGTGGTTGAAGACTGGATACATGCTGCAAAACACAGACAGACTGCTAGAGATCACTGCTGCTACAGTCCCTTCACAAATCAATGCTCCCATTGCTAAATGCTGGAGTCCATTAAAGTGACATTAAACAGAGGGAATCCCTGCAGGGAGTGGTGACTGATGGTCACGGCTCTCTGCAGGGAGATGATCGAGAAGTGAGCGAACGATGGTATGTGTTTGCTCTCTTTCCGATCTATTGAGCCGGCAGTTGACAGTTTCATTGTCACACGTTGGCTCCAACTATGAGGATGAGTGATTTTTCACTCAACTCCTAGTTCTCCTTTAAAATGAATGGTGGCTTGGATCCACAACTGTGAGCAGATTGTCTTTATCCTATTCCTAACTTCATGGAAATGTAAAGTCAGGGTTTTCCACGATTTAGCAATGACCTGCTTGGTGGCTGTAAAATATATGGTAAGAGCTTAGATTGACGGGACTTAATGCCATCGGGTCTTTTAAGTAAGGCCTTGCACGGATCCAGGGTAATTGGATAAATCAAAATGATAGCTATGTTTGTATACTTTGGACCACAGTGCATTACAACCGGATACCAAAATGTGCATGTTTGTACCAGGATCCAAACAGTCATGGAAGCATGCTTGAAAATGACCAGAACAGAATTTGATGAGTCTTGCAAGGGACTGAATACCATAAGGAAATGTGTTTAGAAATGTGTTTAGAATTGTTTTCTAGTCCAGGAACATTTTGGGAGCAGGATTTGGTGGCAGACAATATCTTCGTCCATGTGTCCTTGCTCAAGGTACAGCCAAGCTCAGCCTCCTATTTCCCAACATATGCTGGGAGTAACGATGGGCAGGGGTTGAGAAGTGTATTTAAGAAAGAAATGAAGCTAGGGCTGCAGATGGCCTCAGCATTTGAGCTCAAATTGATGGAGATTCTTGAACGAAAACCACATGCGCTGTAAGAATTTCAAACTTTTACTGATGTATGGCCAGCTTACCTTTTTGTACCTTTGCATTTGCTTTTAGGACTCTGTAAGTGAGGTCATTGGGTTATCATTTTTCTTCTGTCATTCGAATTCCAACATGGCAAAAGCAATGTTTATGTCTCTATTATCTTCTTCAGTGGTTATGAAAATTCTAAGTTCTGATCTTCTATCATAGTTACTTTAGAAATCCACAAATGTGGACAGTTATAAAAACATGCAAACGGTTATAAAATAAAAATCACCTGCCTTGATTGGACTGTAAAGTTGTCATCACATTGGGAGTCTGCCTGATGTTTTATAACGGCCTTGGCTCTGGTATACTATTTATTTCCATCCAACTTTTCTCACGGAAAGATGTGTTTTTTTATTTCTAGAAAAAAAGCCTGTGTGCCAGATATAATAAAAATGATGTAATGTAATAAAATGTAAAGTCTTCTTACCTGAATGTCAACCATGCAATTCTGGTTGGATGACCATTATAATAGAATTTCCCTGATTTTATTAAATCATCAGATGCACTAAAAAATAATGACGTAAATGGAAAAGGTTATTAGGATTGCAGGTTCATACAGACGGATGTGGCAGCATGTTTCACCATGCTGTGACTAGACAGTTGTGCAATTAATAGATGGCTAGTGGAGGCATATTATGGCATGTGCAATAAAGGGGGTCAGTCTATCCCTTACTGTTAGGTGACACAAATGGCTTAAAGAGACACTGTTAGTCTGCTAACTGAAGGTAAAGTGACATTGTCTGCACATAGTCCACCCACCAACTCATGTATACTTAACTAGTCATGCTTCCCATCTAAGTTCTTCTGTTTTGAGCTTTAGGACATCATACTCCTTCCCAAGTAACAGCGTTCGTGCCTGGTTGTTGGCTGCTCAGACCCGAGTATTGTTACATAGAGGAGGTTACGTACCCCCTCATACCTGAAAATTGCGCTCCATTGTCATCATCCATCGAGATCTCAGATAATCTGGGGAATTAGGGGGGGGGGAGTGTCGCTGTGTAAGTTTACATTCCTGGGAAGGTGGGCTATGTGTAGAATGAGCAGAATAACACTGCCTTTTTAAACCAGGACAAATTAATATGGAATTCAGGAACCAGCCTACCCACCTTGGGAGCCAGCAGGATTTTTTAGGAGCAAGCTCCATTGACAACGACTAGAAAAAAACCTCAGAAGTTTGCACCAGCTTTAATTTTTAAGCATCATTGGCTACCTGCCTCCTGGAACTCCAGTGGTGTGGCATTTAGTAATTCTACCTATACCATTGTTGAATCTTTCTCCTGCTGTTTTCTGAATAGTATAAAAAAAAAAAAAAAAACACCCAACAGGGCGGGTGTGATCTCATGTAGAGATATTGTCAGTGGAGTCCTAGTGAAGTATAAGGTTTAATTGAATGACACAATCTAATCCTATTCGCTCAAGTTGCCATTATCTGTTCCCAGGGGACTTTCCATTTCAACATGGCTTTTTATTAAAATGGCAGCAGAGGCTAGTACTGATATAAAGCAGTCAGGTCCCATGTTTTTCTTCTAGGTGCATAATCAAACCCATAGTTTGATTGGTTAATATAGGCTGTAGCCCTCTATTCACTTCTTTTCCATTATGATGCTTCATATAGTTCATGGTCTCCTTAGGAAAGATCTCCCATCTAGACAAAACCCTTCTATAGCTTCTAATGGCAGAGCTGTTAGGTAATGTAAATATTGCTTTGTTTTTGAAGTGAAGAGGATTGGTATGATGTAGGGTGAGAAACTGCCGTGGTTTGACTGTGCCATGCTTTGATAGTATAAATAATTGGCTGCTATATTCTTCTTCTGCCCACAAAAAAAATGAGTGGTTTTTTTTTCCTTACCTAAATCGGGCCACTTCTATGACATGTTTAGGAAGGCTGGGGATGCAGAGCGTGTAAACAAGAAGTATTTTTTCATAGGAAGGGCCTTTTTTTTTTTTACTAACAGTGCATTCGGGTGTGTTGCTATGTTGAGGTACAAATGATGCTTTGCCTGAGTATTTCCTTAATTCTCCTGTTTTTTCATACACAGTGCCAGAACAAGCTCATGGTTCTAGATGCAGAAAAATTACCAGAGTCAGATGTGCAGGTGAGACAACTACTCCCAAGAGTTTTGTACATGAGGTTTATTTCTCAATTCCTTTGGATGAACTGAAGTTGTGAATGACCCCTTCCTTCATTTTCGCATTCAGAAATGGCTGGCGTTACAGTTTTATGTAATCGATAACACAAAATCACCTGCACTCCATACAACGTACAGACCTTGAGTAAGAGGTTGGTGCTTGAAGTGACAACACGGATGGTGCCGTGTCAGATACAGTCCATAATAGAAGTCACCAGCACTCAATGATATGTGCAAGAAGTAAAGCACTTTTTATTCAATCGTCACATGCGTCAAACAGCCAACGTTTTGGGTTTCTTCTGGGCGACATAGTGACCTGGTGCTGGTGACTTCTGTTATGGACAGTTTTATGTAAAACATATAATATACAGTATGTAATAAACATTTCTTGTTTCTTATTCCTTTGTTGCATTTACAAATATATACAACACAATCCATGCTCCTATCTTACATAAAGCAGCTGTGCTCAGTGAAATGACATCCACCTGACCCAACCCAATAATTTTAATGTGCACTGTGGTCATAAATAAAACAAACGATATAATTAAATACAAAGTGAGAATAAATGTCCTTAACTGTTTCAATAGTCCCAATAATTAAATATTTCACAGTTATCAATGTTCAATCATATTCTCAGTGCTTTGCAATGACAAAAGTGTTCAACCCTCCACAAATGTGCTCAAAAGTTACGCATGCATCCATCAAATTGTCCCTCAATGGATAGAAGATAGTAAGTCCTCCGCACTCCTTACAGCATACCCGGCCAAATAGCAACGGTGGTGCTCGCAGTGATACTCACGGATGGCGCCGTGCACAACAACAGTGAAAAGCAGGAATCACCAGCACTCGATAAATGGTGTTCAAATAATAAACGTCCATTTATTTCGACAAGTTGTCACAAACGAAAATACCAACGTTTCGGGGCCGCACTGGGTCCCTTCATCAGGGTGATAATGTGACCTATGGGTCACCTAATGCTGTGGGCCATTAAAACTAATGATCAATATGCAATTAATGTCATTAATCCACATATGGTATACTGTCTCTCTGCATCACACCTCCATCTAGGAGCTCTCTCAGTTGGACATCGATGTAAAATCACAACCAACCATCTGATCAAACAATAAGAATTGAACTCAGTGAGATGCTACTATAGCACCACAATAATACGCTCAATGAAATCAAAAAGAGCAAACAGTGTCTTCAGTGCAGCATGTACTCTAATAATAAAATTCAACTTGTGATGACCTTCACACTTGTGCCCCCCCCACCCTGAAATTAATAGACTCACCAGATATAAGAGACCCCTACAGTTAATGGTCAAATAACGCTTGATGGGATCAGTTCACAACTTTCCTCTCTGATGGACTTTCTCTTACCGATTTTCCGTTCAGAAAATCCCACAAGTCTGTGGCACTTTCAGGTATTTGTTACCTCACAGATAGATTCCAGTATTCCCTCCATAAATGCCTTCATCTTGCTTTTTTACTAGAAGACCAACACCATCCATGTTCAGGCATCATACAAAATTAGCCCATACTTCCTGGACTAAGATGCCGTCATCTGATTCTTGTAGTAAAGCCAAGGAAACTGAACCAGAAGTAGAATTTAACATACTTTTACTATACAAAAATGCCACAAGCACAAACTACTTTGTTACAGGTAAAACAATATAAATCATACAGGCTGCTACAATTATGCATATACTGTATATATACACACACATGCACCCACTAATCTATCCTTTCTAGCACATACAATGGTTTTATGCAATGGGATACACTAAGGTCACTTAGTCTAGTTGTAGAACAAGACTTTGTGGCCATTAAGTGTTCTCAGGAAAATGGCTTCTAGTCGTGGCTTAGTGTTGTCCTTCTCTTCCAGTAAAGTCTTCTGGTCAGAGTAGTTCCTCAGTGAAGGGCTCCCATGGCTTCTGCCTGTTCAGCTTTCATCCTATTTGGCCACATTCACTCACATGGTGAATCTATGATTGGTCCAAAGAACACAATCATATCTTTCTCATGACAGTGATTGGATGGCACAATAGTGATTGCCATAAATTAATGTTCGGCTCTATTCTGTCTTAAATAAATATGATCTTCCAGAGTCAACCACAGCCCCGACATTCCCAAAATCACCATGTGCGTGCACAGTTTTTAGCATATCAAAGCAACGATTGATCTCAGGAAGACAACACTGATCATAGCAAAGATCCTAATCAAACCTACTGAAGACAAAAGGGATCTTATCCATAAGGCATGACAACTGACTTTAGCATAGCAACGCTGACTCTTTTATTTATACTCTTCCCAGAGAAGATGCTACCTTTTTGCAATTGCATTACCGCCTAGGTGGCATACACATCCTGTTTAACTAGCTGTCTCTACATTGACCTCTACTGTGTGAGGTACAGTTTATGTTTTTCTGAAAAATATAATTCAAAAACAATTATATATATA